AACGATAATAAAACGTGACGACATGGTGGGAAAGCGCCCTAACCCTTTAACACGACCAAGTTATCTTGACAGAATAGCATAGATAATACGGTGTCAACGCCAAAACGGCCTAATTCGATACTAATTTTTTATACATTACGATAATAATGATAATAAACAAATAAGTCACTTAAGTGGTTTAGTTGACAAGTTGGAACAAGTCGCTATAAAGGGGATAATGTTGTTTTATAGCAAAGGATATTTCTATATTGTGTCTATTATTATGAATATGATGACCTCGTTGAGATTACAATCATGTTAGCAGAATATTACTTTTATGAACTCTTAATAATATAGATAATTTCAAATATTCGTGCGATAATAAGTCATAATAAGAAGTTAGTTTTGATTATTATGGGCAACGTACTTATGTTCCTAATAGATAAGAATATCATTAAACAGTATCTATTGTATATTACCGGCCACAAACATTTCAACTTTATTTATATCCAACGATTGCGGAGGCAAAATGACAACATAAGACATCAATATTATGTATACTTTACAAAGTCATAAATTTCTGGAAGACCGTTTTAAGATCAAATATACCGCAATGGATTTTTTTTTATAATATCAAGTGACGGGACGAACAAGTCGTGCGCCTGATGGTAGGCCACATGCCTGTCCATAACAGTTGCCGTTTTAAATTTGCGCCTGTCACCCTCAGATTGAGACATAAGTTGACAAGTCTCATGTGCCTGTAATTTCACCAGCACCCTTACCCTTCGAAACAGGAACATATTAATTACTGCTTGGCGGCAGAAATAGGTAAGTACTACCCTGGTCGAACTCTGTCACAAGGAGTTCTTGTGCTATTAATGCAATAGTATTTTATATTATATTATTGATAATTGCATACAGAAACGAGTCCCATTGGATGAAACATCACATAATTTCGGCGCTGTCGTGTCATAGCTATTTTTTTTGGAAATTGGAAGCGCTGAAATGTATTAATTTATTTAGTAGTACTTTATATTACAATTACGGCATGCGATCGCTAGACTTATGTGGTTAGGGTACTAAGTAATTTATATAGATGCAAACCACTAACCATTAGATTTCTCGTCACTTAAGAGCTGTTACACGCGGCGACTGTTAGCAGATGCAATCGCGCGTTTGCATCGATGCTAAAGGTCACCGTGTGTCCACTACTCCAATTTGCAAAGTTGTTTTATAATCCGTTTGTTGTAATGAAATATACATTTATAAAATTATTTTTACTGGCCTTCAAATACAAAATGCAAATACTTAGCTTCGTATGAATTTGCATGCCCATTTTTATACCTATCGATTTGTAATGTAATATTGTTTACATTTAGTTAAGACCTAAACAAATGGACTATAGTTGCTGCAACATTTTTTAAGAATATAGAAATATACTTAATTATTTTAATGTTAGTTTATTTGTTATTGTTTCTGTAAATATTAGACCGTTATTGACATGCTAAGTGCCATTAAGCATGTTAGTAGCGCTCACTGATCCGACTTTAATAAAATTAAAATAAAATCAATACTTACTCTCGGTACATGTCAAAGAGGTAGTTATATACTCCAAGTCGTGTAGTTGTATAAGTAGCCTGTCGCAGGAGACCGGCGGAGAGACCGGTGTACACAGAAAAGAAGCCTTCTCTTGCGATGATTTCTGAAGCTACAGTAAACGATGACTTCCCTCTGCCAGCCAGCTGCATGCGAGTCTTGATTAAATCTAGAGGTTGCACTACGCATGTTGCTAACATACTGGAAGAAATGTAAAAATATATGATGCCAAGATATGTGACGTTTTTTACTGAAGATTCTTTGGCGCCGATAAAAAAATTTCCATGATGTGGACTTAACTGACTGTACGGTCTCTGTTAAAGCGATCATTCTAAATATTACAGTGATGACCCACGTCGGAACAGCTGTTTGGATGTCGAAATTTTAAATAATAGATACGTCATGCTCTCTCCAAATTTCAATTGTCACATGGGAAATTATATTATTTCGGAAACAATGTATTCTACCACAGTTGCTTGCAAGTTCTATTAAAATTAAGGGAAAATTCCATTCTCACTCATGATAAAAAGGAAGCCCTATACAAATGGCACTGTGAAGATATTACTGTGGCTCTGGAATCGAGTCCCAATAGTAATCAGTAACGGAGCTGCCGACTCGTGTGCGACATTTGCTCTTACATTTGGCAATCCATATAACTCGATCAACTATTGTGATCTTTGTGTTCTCAACGGTCTTGAAATGAGGAAGTCACGGGATAGAATGTTGTCTCTGTTATTTAAAATTCAGCCAAACATAGCTTGTACCCTCTGCTCCTTAAGCAAGTCTGTACTTCTGTATTCCTGACCACACCGCGTATCTATGATCGTTCCATGTTCGAGTGTGGTCTTTGGGAAGGAATTTCAGAACAGATTGTCTTCCAATGGCCAAACAATTCAAAAGTGTCCTTAAGAAAGTCGTCGCGTTACACATTTGTTGCACCTCCGAGGAAGTAAGTATTACCATAAGTGAAAGCTTTAGGATAAAATTAGAGCCTCCTCCTTTCGACTTCACATACGTCCAAAAATATTTAGGAGAATTCCGTATATTATATTGTGTTTTTAATGAATTCTCTGAAACATTACTCTTGCATTACCTTCATGCGGCTTCTCTCTACAGAGATCGTTCGATCGATCGAGGATCGCGAAAAAGTAACCATTTTTTGTGTATTGCTTTCTTCCGTGTATTAAGTTCGATTAAATCATGTCTGTACTAGATAGGGTAACTAGACCTCGCATTTGAGGTTTTAGAGAGAGGTATAAAGCAGGTTACAAAATTTAGAAAAATCCTCATTTATATTATCATGCGATAAAATTTGAGCCCAATTAATGTAACTTAAATATTTATTAATTATAATTCGTAATTACCTTTACAAAAATTAAAACGTGAGTTTTGCTTGTCCTTAAAACGTTTTTATTTTAAATAAAAAATATTTATTAAAATGGATCCTGTTTTTATTAAAAAATTTAGCTTTCTTAAATTTTGTATAAAATTATATCATTTGAAACTAAAAAAAGTAGAGATTATCTACAAAATTCGCCGCATAGTTTTGAAAGTCGGTAAACATATGTGGCTGATTTTGAGACATTGCATTTTCCTCGTTATGCTAAAGTCTTCTATACAAAAATTGGTCCAGTCTCCCAATTACCATCACCTACTTTGCACGAAGTTTTGTCATAACCTTGAGCTATCAATAATCACCAACTTTAAGGTAGTAAGCCAAGTAATTTCGAAAGTTGTTGTGTGCGATTGACAAATAAAAAATAACTTTTATGCATAACAACAATACAGCATCTTGCCCATTACGCAACTTGAGTAACAATCAACCTTGGCCGATAACAATAAAGAATATTGGGTTTTAAGCCAAGGCTGTATCAAGTAATACTATTTAGTTCTAATTTTAATTTTTTTTTAATGATTTATTGACTAATACAGATATAAAATATATGTATGCATGGAGATTAGTAGAAATTACTTTTCAAGATCTACAAAAGTAAAGCAGTAAATAATAGCTGATGTATGATCAGCTGAGATCGGAATAGACTGAGTGTATTGAACTAAATGTCAAAGAAGTAATAAGAAGAAACTTCGGAATTACTATTGCTTTTATATTTGTATGTGTAATCAGCAAACACTTAAAGTAAGTGTTTTTAGAAGGTAAGTTATGTAATTATAAATAATGCACACACTCAACATAGCCCCACACTAGGAAACCCTGTGTCGCGGGTGCCATGGACACACACATAGACAACCACAAATTACACCCAAACTCACGAGAGAAATAAATGTAGATTTTACAAATATTTCTCTCGGCCCAGGAATCGAATCTGAGACCTCTGCGTGGCAGTCTAGTGTGGTAACCGTTCGGCCATGGAAGCAGTTGTAAATAAACATGCTATTTTGTTTTAATATTGGCTGTAATTTTAATCATTTGGAATTTTAGTGGGAGGTGTTATCCACTCTATGTTTATTAATAACGTGTATTTTCATGGTTTTTGAAATTCTTGGTGCACAATTTGTTTTTACCATGACATATGGGGCAACCACTGTTATCTACGGTATTGATAAATGAGTAATTTAAATACATATTCTCAAATCTACACAAAAAATTTGATTGTAATAATAACTGATTAAAAAATGTAAGCTTTTTATGTAAGCCTAATAAAAATTATTATGTATGCTTTAAAGATTTTTATTCAAACTGCTCATAAGAAATATATGTAACATTACATAAGATGTACATCAATAAGCACTATTTAGCATAGTCTTTTTTTTTAAATTAATATAAAGTAAAATAATAAAATGCTGCTTAAAATAGTTTTGTATGATTTTTTTTACTGTATTAGCTTATGCTAAAAAATGTGCATTTCTCTGCGAATTTAGTTCCCAAAATTATTAAAATATCCTCATTTTGTGGAATTGGTCATAATTAAATAGTAGCAAAAAAAATTTAAACATGATGCTGATGATTTCAAAAGGTACACCAGTGCTTTAAATAATTCTCAGCAATCTTCCAGCGGCACAGTAAAATATTTTATATGCATGTTACATACCAATCCTTTAAAAAAATTGCAATAGAGTTTGAGGCACCTATGGTACTAACAAATTTACAAAACTTATATTTTTCGAGTTCTTAGGTTTTCGCGATTGTTACACATAGGAAATGAAACTATTTTTCCGGATTTAAATCGCGTATATTTGTTTTTTCAAACAAACCGACGTTTCGAAACGATGGTTTGTTTGAAAAAACAAATATACGCGATTTAAATCCGGAAAAATAGTTTCATTTCCTACTTATATTTTTATTAAATTTATGAAAGTGCTTTTTGGTGGAAGTTAAAAACAGATTTTTGTCATTTACTCTATAATTATAAAATTAAAGAGCTTGTGTTTAAAAATCGTAATATTAGATTAAAAATTGGCAAAAAATTGTCGTCAGCAATTAAGGCCGCGAGTGATAATTAAGGCGTTCATTTCAAATTGAAAGATCGTGTTAAATTTAATTATATTTAGTTGGACACACCGTTTAGCGCCTTCTTATGAATAGGACAAGGTCCTTCAGACACGGTCCGTCGTTACATGACTATTTCACGACAGACGGCGGAAAATAACTCTGTAAACATGCCATCTTTTAAACTTCTACGTTACGCTACAAAAATCCGCGTAATTCGAGTTGACCATGTTACTGGCATTGATAGCGTGTAAAGGACAAGGTTATAATCTTAAAATAAATGAAACTGTCTTACCCAGCACCACCGCCGAACGCAAACTTTAATGCATTAGGAATGTACCGATCTTTAGGTGGCGTTGACATTGTAGATTGTTTTCACTGATTACAAATAAACCTTGTACAAAATTATATAAGTTAATTTAAAAAAGTATTTAGAAATTACAAAAACTTTCGTATGCGGCAAGAAACCGCACGACCAACACTGCCCACACCCACACACCACAAGTCAACAGCTGGACATTTAACGTACAATTTGACGTTGACATTCGGCTTCTATCATTTTGACATTGACGGTTCTTTAACGCAAACCATGACGTTTACGTTCGGATACAATAATTCTTAGCAGATAAGGTTTTTGGCGCAGTTAAGTTTTGATACAAAAGCTATGTTTTTTAACCCATAGGAATATTTTTTAAAGGCGACTAATTGTGAAATCAAGTGATGTGAACAGTTTGTATTATCGAGCGATTTGCATTCTTCCTACTATTTATATCAAATTATGAAATACGAATCGTATTTATTTAAGCCTTAGACTGCCTTTCCACCACAGATGTGCGAGGATGTGTAGCGGCGATGTGGAACTGTGCGATGTTTCCCAACAAAGCTGTGCGAGGCAGCTAGGCGGTGAGAGGATCTGCAGCGGCGCGGTGCGAGGATGCGTTACGAACTCTTTTCAGCTATGCGCGGGCGGCGTACCGGTGTGGTGGGGTGAGCGGTGGCGATGTATCAGTGTCACTTAGCGTCACACTTTCAGCAGACATGGGGAATAGCGTTACATTTCTAACGCCGTGATAAATCACCGTGATTTTGTCACGACTGTTACTTCCGTGACGTTGAGACTCCTATAACTTACATCACGATATACGGTTTCAGCCAGCTGCTTCTTTCTAATAGTTAAAGCCGTTTTTTTATAGAATGATTTAAGTTTTTACTCCCCTTTGTAATAAATTTCAATTCCATTCAAAAAGTTGATTTTGTATTTAATGTAATTTTGTTTGTTACTTATTTAATGCGAATCTTTGGATAGTTAAAAACAGCAATAAAGTGTAATGTAATTATATTTCTAGTAGAATACACAAAGTATTAGATTATCAGTTAGAGTATCATTAGAGTATCAAAGTAAAAGATTATACATAAATATAAAATATCAACTCTTCCCATAATAAAACAAATGTACAAAAATATTTTACTTTGTTAATAAATAGGTTTGTAAAAACTGCTGCAGATTTTTTTCATCTGCCCTTTCTAGTAGTAATGAGCACCTATGACCCTTGTGAGTGAGCAAAGAAAGTCATCCTATCTCACTCACTCACCATCGCCGAAATGGCCCGATTTGAAGAACTACGAGTGGCGCGCACAGTCACCACGGAACGGAGACCGTGCATTGTATCAAATACGTATGTCGTGATGTAAGTGACGGGGATAGCTATTGGAACGGAGGAACACCTATGTGACTTTGGGACGTCGTTCCTTCGGAACGAGTCACGGTGATACTGTTTGACGGCGGATCATCGTGATTTTTTCATCGTGACGTTATTTATCACCCACCTCTAACTTTCAGTAGCTCTAATGTCCTACACCGTTTTGGACACATCCTAGCCCGCATCCCTCGCCCACATATTCCTTGCAAACATCTCTCGCTACTTTGTATGTACATATAAATACTTAGCTCCGCTAACCTTTTTCCACCGGAGCTGCGCTAAGCGAGGCTAAGAAAATGAAGTAATCCTATTGGTGGATTTTTTCCTCGCACGCATACCGCCTCGCTACGTCGCACATCTCTGGTGAAAAGGCAGCCTAATGCTGTGTAACACTGTTTTATCATTTCTTAATAATCGAGTGACATTTTCCGCAATAGCTCTTACGATAAATGATAGAATTTTTCTTGCACGCACAAAGACAAAGTATGTTCACTTCTGTGCAAATTGCTTACGCACTCAAGTCATCCTCTTAAGGAATATTTAAGTTCCTTTTAAGTCATGCTGTCGGTTTCGTAAGATTGAATTTATGTTTGCATTTTATTAGAAATGTTCTGTTTATGGTAACAAGTTCTAAACTAAATAACGAGTATTCTACATATTGTTGTTCGCTCTGAAAATATGGGGGAAAGAAACGGATTTTAACTTTCATATGAATGTATTTGAAAACGTAAAATAATTCTTCAAATTACTTATAGGTATCCATCTCAGACCACAATGGTCTGTGGTATCCTTAAATGGAAATGTACAGACATCAGCGAGGCTTCGGCTGCCGGAGCAATCCGCCTGGAATGCCATTGCATCGTTGATTTATATAAGTACTATACTTATGTATAGTGCACGATGTCTTTTGCCCTGACCATTTCCCTGTAACTATGACAGGGAATACCTAGTTAAACCTAAAATTATTTACTAATGGAATCGTATGTACAGTTGCCCTTTGCCTTTAGTACAGCAGTGGGCGGCGTATGGCTGAACGATGATGATGATACAATGGGAGGAAACCCGCTAACGTCACAGACATGTCAGATAATTTACGGCGTGATTATTTGATCGATGGCAAACATACTAACACAGCTATGTCAGATGAAGAAGTGCTTTCAGATAAGGACTGAATTAAAATGATTAATAAACGGAAATATATTTACTTTTATATAAAAGAAGCACACTTAATAAAAATAGGGAAATAGTTTCACAGCTCCCTAAAGTTCACACGGAAACTAAAACAACAATAAAGTACGTTGTTCAAAATTCAAATTATTATAGATTCTAAATCTAATAATTAATGGGTATGTATAATATAGGTATAATATTCGTGTGCATTCGGAAATCCGATGATTGCTGAGGGACATTGCAAGAATAGAAGCACAGATTATTTGGGGATAGACAGACTGTGTGCAGATAAATAAATCTGGCAATGTACCTATCCGATAAGATTAGTGTAATTTGTACGAACTTTGATCATATATGCATTACAATAATTATAATTTAGTTTAAATTGTGTCGATCATTATAAAAGTGGTGTAAGTTCATATTTTAAAACGCATGTGTTTTGCTTAAAAGTATCACATTTAGTCATTGACTTACAAATAAATGGACGACGGGTCTAATACAAAAACCACGAAAAAAATGTCCCAAGTCAACCTATTCGAAATTTAAATTGTAATGTCATCGCAGTATCCATAGACTAATATATAATACTGGCAGTATCGCGCTGTCAGTAGAACAAATGAAGACTAAAGCGGAGTGTCGCGCTCTGTATACGATTTTAGCGCCTTCCAAGTGCGGACACTTTTTAGCGCGGACCCGACGTCCATATAATTGTAAGTCAATGCATTTAGTCATATTTTTCATTATAAAAGTGAAGCAACTCCAATAATTGCACTAACATCCCATAGATGGCATTACTAGTTACTAAGGGAACTAAAATTACTACACATTCATTTGCTAAAACCTCATTATTTCAAAATTTAATTACAAGGACACAATTCAGTTTTACAATGAACGACAAAAAAATGAAAACCTTCTTTAATTTATTTTCCGGTAGCAAAGGTTAACAATTTTTCGTAAATAATTATTTTTAACCAAATTGAATTTTTTGGCCACAGTCCAAATCGCATTTGCGAAATGGTAAAAATAACTATGATGTAAGTACGGCTTTAGGAATCTCTCTGTGTATGGAACTAATGGCAATAAATAGTAAAATAATGCACAAAATGTTGAGTGTTATTAAAATAATAATAAAAACATTACATTTATTCTCACAAGTTCAATGTATGGAACTTTTGGATTACAATTGTTCCACGTGGAACTGAATACATGGCATTATACTATAAAATAATACGCAATAATATATAAAACACCGTTAAACGCACAGACAGATATATGTCTGTGGTTTAACGCTTCATGTACAAGTATGCAATGCAAGACAATCATTTTACACACGACTCAGTGTCGTAGTACCTATCTAAAAAACAAAACATAGCATAATTATGATGATATATTTATCAAGATTATAAATTATCATTTCGAATTCGAACCCTGCTTGAAAGGCAATCGCTGTGTCCACCTAGATCATAGGTTCTCAAAGTTTTTGCCTCCCGCCCACTTACGCGAGATAAAAAAATTTCAACACCCGCCACAAAAAATAATGAAACACGAATTTTTATACTAACTTAACACAAAAAATGACTTGGAAAAAATACCTACATATTACGTAGTGTAGTTTATATTCAGGTTTATTTTTGCATACGCGGTAGCATCCCCAGGACAGCATCAACGCCCTCCAATTGCTTCCGAGGCCCCTACCGCATCCCTAGGACTTCAGTGCCCACTGGGGCACACCACTTTGGGAAACTATGACCTAGATACTTGTTTTGTTACTTGAATGGACTTTTGGGACTTTGATTGAACATTTTGTAGTAGGTACTCCTACGACTCTCAAAATACTAACCTCTCTCAGTCCTATGACTAAATTCGCCATTTTGTAATATCCATAAATCCATAATTATTCAGACCTAAAGTATGCAGCATTCATTTGCTCGAGGAATATAAATGTAAGCACAGTGTGCGGGCCTAAGCGAGCGTAATATGGTAAAAAACCTTTCCAAAGGGACAAAACTCCCTCGTTTTGTATCAAGTTGGTTATCACCGACATTTGGCTTTGGCCTTTTGCTGCGTTTTGGATTCTGCAAAAAAAAAGAACTTACGACAGTACTCCCGTGACTTATATCATAACGGATAGGCCCGTGGGATCAGTCGCTGGTCGGTAACTTCAAAAATACGGCGCCACGCATGTCGGCCCGAGGCCGCCCAGCCACGTCCGTTTTTTTTATGAGATCAAGTGACGGGACGAACAAGTCGCCCACCACGTGATAAGTACCATGCCTGTCCATAACAGTTGCAGTACCACTGAGTGCTGTAAATCACAAAGATCTGAGGGGCACTGCCACCGTCACCCTGAAACATAAGTTGATAAGTCCCATGTGCTTGTAATTTCGCCAGCATCCTTACCCTTCAAAACCGCAACGCAGTAATGCTCGCATTACGTTATTTTTGTTTTTTGCTTCATTTATTACTTTTGAAAAAAAAAACGCCTACCACTTTTCACTGGCAATGTACTGGAACTGTAGCGGCAACCATGTTTTACATTATTTCACACAAATAACTATTGTTATGCAAGGGCTGTAGATTGAACCACGAGGCAAGCCAGTTGTTCATAAATAGAATCCTAAGCGTAGCGAGGGTTTCAAGTCACGAGACGTAAAACAACTTTGTTGCCAAGCGAAACACACAATTTTTACAAACACATAGCTTTTTTTAACAGTTTTCTGTCCGTATGAGCCAGTCGCGGAGGCTTTACTGATGTCGGAGACCGCATTATAAGATGTGATCACCCACATCTCATGCAAGGCGTGGATGGTGCCTTCAATATACAGGCTCATTCGCCAGATTTTTACGCAACCTTAGACACAAGTTGACAAGTCGCATGTGCCTGTAATTTCACTAGCACCCTTCAAAATCCGGAACTCAGTATAAGGCTCATATTACTGATTGGCGGCAGAAACAAGTAAATACTTACTTCCCTGGACGAACACTTTCAAGGAGCTCCATTGCTGCTAAAAAATAACCTTACTTAAATATTTTTGCCTCTGATGTACATTATTACTCACTTAGTCTTTGCAATATCAACAGGCAAAGAGGCGATGGCGGTAACGAGGCCGGCGACCATGGAAGCACTGAAGTGTAACAGGATGCCATCCGAAATGGACACAAGCATCATCTCGCGTGCCTAAAATAAGAAATCAATTACATCGACGAAGGTAACTGTCTAATAATACGTCAATGTCGTGTATGACGTGCTTGAATTTACACTCTATCACGCCTGTCTCCCAGCGGGTAGGCAGAGACCATGGATCTCCATCTGCTATGCCCTGACAAATCTCTTTCACCTCCTTCATTCCCGTCAGTCTCTTTATACATTCCCGTTTATTCTCGGTACTTTTAATCCGAACCTTTAAGGGCACCCCCAACCTGATTGAGATGTCGTCCACATTTGCTCTATAAATTATCCGTCAATCTACCAAGGTTCATTCTCTAGACCTGTATCGGTCGATCATCTTTGATAACCCGGGTCGATCATGACCCATGCGTAATGTGTCAAATGATTTGATGATATGTTCGACCTTTTAGCGGATCACCCGTCGCTCACGATAGTCCCATGAGGCGTTTAAAAATGTCAAATCATACAATTAGCTTTTATTATTTCCTGCTAATGGGTTAATGTATACAAAGTAAAATGCATCATTGATAAACCACATTTAGGACACTAAAATTTCTTTCTAGGAAACGTAACACCTACAAAACAAAAACTTATGAGCATTCAAAATTAGTCATTTATTATTCATTAATATTTTAATATTAGCTCGCACTCATAAATAAACACAACATACCGAAAAACAGATTAAACTCACAAAATTACCATGAAGGACACTACACCACGGAACAATTAGGATGAATGATTGATAGAGTCATTGGTCCGTTAACCCGACATTTTGGTTCGAATGCTCTATCGAACACAACGTTCGACAAAAACGAAGAGTCAGAAGGCGAAACGTGTCGTGAGTGGGGACTTCACTAATGTCAATTGTTGAATAATCTCTAAAATTATAGTGATAAAGCCGAATATTGCGCGCATGACCCATGAAACTCTAAACTGATCGGGTTATTTAGAAGCTAGTAAACCAGGTTATCGGGTCACAGGTGCTGTCCGAATCATTTTGATTCGATCGATCACGATCGACACGCGTCTAGTTCATTCTTTCTAGATGACTAAACCAAGGCTGTTGCAAATATCAGCATACGGATCCGCATCCGCGGATAATCTACATGCATTAAAATATCCGCATCAGTATCCGCATTCATCAATGCTGATATTCATTGCGGATGTTCGAGTCGTAACACGAACAAAAATTACGCTGGAGTATTTACAAACTTCCAGAAACTGTACGCCGAAAAAGTAGCTCAGGTTGTTTTCAAAGTAAGTACAGTAACTTTGATAAAATTCCAGAACGATTAAGCTAGGGAGATGGATTGTTTTCATGCAGATTGATTCTTTTATTAATAAATGGCATAAAATCATTAAATAGTATTTTATTACAATTACCAAAGAAAATATAAAGCTTTTTCATGTAGATAGATTTAGTAAGAATGTACGTGGGGAAATCCTTAGAGGATACCTCTCCGTCGCGGGGGTAGCGGAGAGGTTATGCTCTAGTAGGAGGGATCCGTGATCTACATTGCGCACCAGAACTCCACAGCACCTGAGAGGAGCTACGTCCTCGCCCTCCCCCGTCTCACGACCTCGCGGCTGCCAAACTTACTGGCCAACGGAGCTCCGATCGCCCGCAGCCGCGAAATCCCAACGCCCCTGTCGTGAGACGTCCTGACTACCCTTTATAGCGTTTTCTTAGTGCGCCATTTCTCTACGAAGGTTAGCGGCCATCATGGCTATTCTCATTTTTAAAAATCTGCCGCATGAAACAGGGAACTTGTGCTAAGATGGAACCAGTGTCTCAGATTCTTCAACCACGATGTTTTCCTTCTGCCACTACTACTGCTGCTTTCCTTGTATTTTTCCCTGCATTATTAGTTGAAAAATCCGGTATCTATTACCCCTCATTACGTGGCCGAAATACCGCAGCTTCCTTTCCTTTACAATTCTTAGTATTTCCAACTTATTTTTCATTCGACGAAGAACCTCAACATTGGTGACCTTTTGTACCCACGATATGCCAAGCATATGTCTGTACAGCCACATCTCAAAGGACTCCACTTTATAGCATACCAAAGTAAACTCACTCGATTTTCGGCTTTAAGATAATATTTTAAAATCCCTATGTAATTGTTGTACCTGGGTATAAGTGCTGAGTTGCGCGGCATTGACGACCATTGCGCGGAAGACAGTCGGCGCAGCGCCTCGCCACAGCTTTAACACACCTTCTTCTTTCACTATTCTAGAACCATCAACAAGCTACTTTTCCTTTATGTACGAGTTTATAATGGTGAGAATTTCCAGCCAAAGCAATCCCTAGCAGAAACTAAATAAATTACCTTTTTTTTACATGAGACCAAGTGACGGAACGAACAAGTCGCCCACCTGTCCATAACAGTTGCATCCACTCAGTGCCACCAATCAGTGCTTTAAATCACAAAGATCGGTTGGGCAGTAACCCTGCACCCGCCACCCTGAGACATAAGTTGACAAGTCCCATATGCCCGTAATTTCACCAGCACTCTGCCGTCACTCTGCTCTGCGTCTGCTCACAAGACTGGTTGGTGGTAGAAATAGGTAAGGGTCAGCAGTTCTCTGGACGAACTCTTTCACAAGGACCTCTACTGATCCTAAGGACCTTTGGATTCGTGTAGTCAGTTTTGCTGATATAAATATTGCCGATGTAAAAAACAGTCAATACGAATATTTCTGTATATAACACACAGGCCTTACCTGCTGAGTGCTTCAAAAACGCTGCTATAATTTCTTCTCTGTCTCTCAGGAAGTCTACCGTCAGCTGTCATTCTAATAAGGACAACTTCTGTTGGAGTACCGATAAAGGCACCAATTCCACCCGACACTGTACCCAGCATCGTTTTTTGCACGAAGCCTGGTGCCACGCCTTGATTTCTTCTAAAATATATTGTTAAATAAAAAACCTTATTAATAAAACTTGTTTCGTTTCTCTTGAGTAAAAAGTGAGGTAAAAAAGGGATCTCGTCCAAAAATGGAGGTACGAGGTTTTCACATTTAGGCGACGAATTTTGTGTCCTGTGCAATATATTATTAAATAAATAATTAAATAAGAACTATTACAAGGCAGAGGAAGTAAACGACATTGATACTTGCTCTTTATATGAGTCAAAAAGATAATTAAACACGCCAAGACGCGTGGTCCCGTAAGTGGCTTGTCTCAGGAGGCCGGCGGAAAGACCGTTGTACAAAGCCATAAAACCTTCCATGGCCACGATTTCCGAAGTCACTGCAACTGAGGACTTTCCCATGCCAGCCAGCTGCATTCGAGTTTTTATTAAATCCAGGGGTTGAACTATGCATGTTGCCATCATGCTAAAATAAATTCAAAATTTACTCGAACAATTTAACTCTTCAGCCACCCATATAGTAATGTTGTGTAAATCACAAATTTTGCTTTCTTAAACTTTAGAACTTGCTAACCACGACAGATATGTGTCTGTGTTGCTAACGTTGTTATTACTTTTAAACCCCATTAAAACATTCCGTAATCTCGCGGTTATTTTACCATAAAAAGTTGTGATTTTCGACAGCATCCAGCGTTAAATTTTCTGAGCAATCAAATTAACAAATAAATGAATTAATTATAATGTTAACTGGAAGAGGAAGTCTGTGGACCATGGGAATGAGCATGAAGCGCGTGTTTAGAAACCAAACTTTTAAGTTGGGTTAGAAAAAGCATAAATATCTCAGCAGGAACATAAACAAAATTATGCCAAATGTCTTGTTCATATCAAGTTCCTACATTTTCTCGATTGCTATACATCTTATTCGTATTTATGATAAAGTTATACCTATTCGATTCAGTTAACGAAATGTCCACAATACAAAACATTAAAAGAGCGCTGAAAAACAACAGATGTCCATAACAGTTGCAGTGCCACACAGAGCTTTAATTCGCAAATATCCGAGTGGCACTGCCACTGCGCCCGGTACTCTGAAACATAAGTTGATAAGTCTCAAGTGCCTGTAATTTCACTAGCACCCTTACCCTTCAACACCGGAACGCAGTAATGCTCACATTACTGCTTGGCGGCAGAAATAGTTAAAGTGGTACTGGCAGTAGTTCCCTGGACTAACTCTTTCACACGGAGCTCTACTACTACTATCTTCACGCCTGTCTTCCAACGGGATAGGCAGTGACGATGGACTTCCACATGATACGCTCCTCACAAACGCTTTCGCCTCCTCCACTCCCGTCAGTCTCTTCATACATGCTCGTTTATTCTTGGCCGGGCTTTTTTAAGAACGTCCTCAATCTGATTGAGATATGTACGCCGAGGTCTAAGTCTCCTCACACCTCCATCCACATTTGCTCTATAAATTCGTGTTGTTAATCTACTGACTTTCATTCTTTCTACATGACCAAACCATCGAAGCATCCCCAGCTCTATCATTTTTCACATACCACAACGCGAGAGCAACGTAGTAAGAGATTAACTTCTTCTGCCACAAAAAACTACCAAACAAGTCTTTGTTTTGTGGTGAAATCCTTCTAGGGTACCTCTCCGCCGCGGGGGCAGCGGACTTCTACCGGCTAAAACCCACAGTGGCCTTCTCGGGTGCTGTAGTGGGAAAGAACCGGGATCGACTTTGCGCACCGGAACCCCCCCAGCACCTAGGAGAAGCTACGTCCTCTCCTCACGACGAAGCGGGCCACACCGCCCCGTCGTCCTCCTCGCGGCTGCCTAACTTACTGGCGAACGAAGCCCCCGCTCCGATCGTCCGCAGCCGCGAAGGTACGCCGCCGCCGAGCGGGATCGGCCCTCTCCCGATCACGCTCGGCGACCTCCTTCTGAAGCATCACCGCTTCACAGAAGGAGACCACTGCCTTATGGGAACCAAACAAGTCCTACATCAACCTAACGTGAGGTTACCGTATAATTGGTCCCAGCTAATGAACCTTAGTGATAATTGTTACCAGATGGAGTGCATGCGCAAAATCGATATATATAACGATGTGAAAATCAACTGAAAGCCAGACGACATCCACTGTTGCCGTTAACGCGCCTAGCTAGGAGCTCTGAGTACTTGTTGATATTGTAATGGAAGTACAGAGTGTTAACTGTAACATATCATCTGTATTCGGAATATTTATGATTCCAATGGCTGACTGTACTTTTTACGAAAGAAATTTGCCAACAAACTCACATCCATAAACTTCGACTAAAGAAGTTGCGTGCAATTGATCACGACTGTACGTATTAACTGCAGATATGGAATCCATCTGTTAGCAGCTTAAACCTGTCTAAGAAAGCCGGTGCGCAGCTTTCGGGTAGGTTTTCAGCACGTATGCGTGCCAGCATTGGGCTGGTTTAAAAAAGTGTTTACGCAGACACAACGCCCTGCCAGCTGCCAGCACTGGCATGCCTGCAACATCCAATAATTTTATCAATGTATGAAAACATTCTTAATTTGTTAAATTTGATAGCTCAGATATTTAGATATTGAGTGTAGGTACCCAGCTGCACCGCCAAACGCAAACTTTAGTGCATTTGGAACATAACGGTCAGGGTGAGAAGATGAAGGCGTTGGTGTAATAGTTTCTCGTCTCTTTGGCTCAGGCATTGGAGATTAGATCCTTTGATGATAATTTTTGAAGATATTAGCTTATAAAATTATTTAAAATATACGATTAAAAAAATGCGAATAACGTAGCGATTTTATCCACTTGGCCACGAACTTCACAGGTACTTTAGTACGTTATTTATAAATTGGTGCTGCTTTTTCCACTGCATAATCTTCTTTTTTGCTTATTGGCGCTGCCCTTTTTAGGATTTCGCCAGGGTCAAGTTTGTAAAAATAGTAAATGGCGAACGTCGCCAACGCTTTATGCGCCAACGTCTGGTTTTTATATCTGGCATTGATCTGTCGTATATCTTGGATTTTTTTTTCAATTTTTCACGGATTTGACACTTTCGCAAAGATATTTTTTTCTTGGTTTTCTTCCAATCTAATTAGGGCGTGCATTTGGAGCTTAGAGGTTGGAAAAAAAATAAATTTGGCGTATTGCACTTTATAGATGTGAAACAACGGACACCTAAACGTAGTGCTTAAAATCTCTTTGTGGACACCTTCGAGGATGGAAAATGGACACTTACTTATTTAAAGATTAGAAACTTTTGAAATGTGGTGCTGGAGGGGAATGAAGGCCATAAGTTGGATGGAAAAGAAAATCAATGAAGAAGTATTGAGAACGGTAAACGAGAAGAGAACGATCCTGAGTACTGTAGAGAATAGACGTAGGAAAATGATTGGACATTGAATACGACACGACAACTTCTTTAAGTCCATTTTATAAGGAAAAATCTAAGGGAAGAGGGGAAGAGGTCGATCTAGGTACAGCTACACAGACCAAATAAAGGAAAAGGGAGTGCCCTTCCGCTCTTAGGCCTCTCATTGCTTCGAGCTCCACTGCTCTTAGCTTCGACTTTGGAGCGGCTGAATACTCCTTATAAATAAGCCTAGGTCAACATTTTTTCTTTCTCATCTGGAGCGGAGGACAACTAAAGAAAGAAAGAAATTTAAGTAATTTAGACATTCATATTATACTAAATATTACTTGGAACTCTTTCCGGAATCAGGAAAAGCAAGGGCGTTTCCTAGAAAACGTATAATGAGGGAGATGAAGATGATAGGGGTCCGTAGTTTCGCACTACAATACTTACTGTTCTTTTGACATAACGTTAATCGATAAATGATTAATTCGATCGCCAAAAGGAAGAGCTGTCATTCTTTCGACCAAACGTGCATCGACAAATAATGTTTTCGATCAATAACATAAAACTACAAAGTTCTTTCGATTAAACTTGATTGGTCATTCGTTTATTCGATCAGTAACAGAATAATCTAACATTCATTCGACCTCACGTTAATCGACCAAATGAATTTCGATCTTGGGTACGGCACTCCCACCGACAAGAGTATAACTCTCAAGTTTGATGATGATGGTTTTTCCTCCATCCTCAAAGTTTCAGGGGCTAGCGTTGGAGCCATTGATAAGATATACCCAGTTTTTTACTTTATTAAAAGGAATAAATTTCTCATAAGTCAAGAAACTATAAAACAGATCGCACATGTACCCAAATATTGTCGTAACGCAAAAATGTTGGAATTAAGAAAACACGATTTGAAAGTTCAAAAAATTACTGAATGGTACCGATAAATGTATATTTTCGTTATAAGTGGATAGGTAACTAATTGTTACGTATTTAAAAAAATCCTGTTAATCGCAATAAGATTCACTAATTTTTTTACATTTTCAAATCATGTTTTCTCAATTCCATCATATTTGAGTTACGACAGTATTTAGTTTCATGTGGAAGATTTTGGTAAAATGGAGTGCAATATAATAATAATAGAGAACATCGTTGGTATAAATATTAGCATATAAAATTTAACAAATACAATTTAATAATGAGATATATTTGTGTCACGTTAAATTATCTGATATTCTTCATGTTGTTACTTTTATGTTGCTGTTCTTTTTTTTCGTTAAAGAAAAAGCAAAGATTGCACGAGGCAGAAGTAATTGTTGACAATTTGTATGAGTGCGGTGAAGTTAGATATTTGAATCACATCTTTATAAATTGCACCAGATTTGATCGTTCCAATCTTATATGCCTCTTCCCGCTTTCATCCATCATTTGTTATTGTCCAATAACATTTCTATTTACCTTGTCTATCTAGATTTAATTCCGAAAATAATATGAAAACTTATCTGTTGCATAGGAATAAAAGAATGTTTCTCCTATATTTATATTATGTAATTGTTTATGCAGGCGAAGTAGTCTGCTGAATGCCGGCAGTGTAAATGCGTCATCATTATAATATAGCTGCTTCATTACCGGAAAGAAAAATAATCTGTGTTGTTTATGGTCAGGGATTTCGTATATTTTCTTTCATTTGTACACATAGATAAACATATCTGTAAATGAAAATATAAAGAGATAGGTACTTTATTTATCGTAGTGTGTCCTAAGGACGTGTGCTTTCAGTACGTTTCAGTTCTTGGTATCGATTTAAATTCAGACTTGACCGGTAAGTAATTATTTAAAAATAAAACAAATTTTTCATCATAACTTCAAAGGAGGAGGTTCTCAATTCGACTGTATGTTATTTTTGTATGTATGTTACGCGATAACATTTTTGATGATTCTTTTTTTGTTGGAAAGTGGGTACCTCCTTGGTGGTCCCATTTAAATTTGAAGAAAATATTTCACCTCTAATGGTGGCAGACTTGGAGATAAATGAGTTTTAAGAACGGTTTTTTTAGTACTCTGTACTGAGATTATTAATTGACGTGTGATACTTTCCGCTCGGACCACGACATATGATCTGACAATCATGAAGCAATCTATTGTTTCTTGCAGTCCCCTTCTAAGAAGGAGGTTTATGGGGTGCACGAAAGGAGCCTCCCTAATTTTTAACAATCCAAGTGAAATAGTAATATATTAAGTTTAACAACTAAAAAAAGAACTTGGCTATACAAAATACCCGCTCTCGTCGAAATCAAAAAATTTGGGTATGTACATTGAAACGCCACATGTGAATTGACACTCGTATTAAAAAAGTGACAGGTTTCAAAATGACGATAGCTACAAAAGTACCTTACAGCGCTATGTAGAAGTGTGAATCAGTAGTACTTTTAATTACATCATCAAATGGCACTTAAATGAAAAGGTAAATTCAAATCATTCAATAAAGGTCAAGGTCAGCTACACTTACCCTTACCCATCCTGACCTTAATAACTATTTAGAATTCCGGATTTCCGGATATGTTTTACTGCACCGTAGAACAAACTATTGACCTAGAAAGTCGAAGTTGGATTTTAAAGTAATTCTAATGGTGCCATGTAAAAAAATGCAGTAGATAATTGACAGCCTTGATGCCGTTCCGTCGCATACGGGACGCGGTGCTGTATCTAAAGCTAGGGATGAGCGGACCATTCGGTGACCTTTCTCGTTACTTTTTTTATTGTCTGGTTTGGTAAAACGTCAGTTATCTACTGCATTTTTTAGATGGCACCATTAAAACCATTTTAGTGGTATGTGTGTATATGTGGAACACCTTTTTCCGACCTATGATAATCGCTTAAAAACAAAAATCTATTTGGTAACCGTCTATTTCTCGTTCTGATATTGTATTGCCTGCTTTTGAGAACAAACATTCTGAAGAAGGTACAAACTTCGCCGGAATTGCGAAGTACTACAATTCTATATCTCTCCTCGCAGCTATATCTATATATTGTATCTATACATGTGGAATACCTTTTTCCGACCACTGAACTTCGCAATACCCGAGCATTGGTCAGGTCTAGAAAGATCGTATCAGGCATTACCGGCAGAATTTAAATGAGATGATGATGATGGCCTTCCTCCTGAAGTGTTCCCCTTGCGCTATAACATGGAGTTCTTCAAAAGACGTGTAAACAAGGTTCTCCGGAGTCGGCAACGCATGGGTGATGCCTCTGGTATTGCTCGTGTCCATGGGCGACAATGACCACCTCCCATCAAGTGGCTTGTCTGCTCGTTTGCCTACTAATTAACATAAAAAAAAAAAAAAAAAAGATGAAAAACGGTCTATATATATATTGTTCGTCAGGATAGCAAGTAGCATACTTTCTTATTAGATATCTTAATGTAAGACATACGTTTTTGAAGTTAATCGTTTCTTATCATCATTTCAGGTGATAATGATAACATAGGTAACATATTCCTGATTAATATTAACGACTACATATAAAATGATTAACAAAATATTTGACTATTTAATAAAACATGGCTGTATGGACCAAATATATGAATCATTACTACAAGATGACTACTCTGAAGCCGTCCTCGCAGCTCTGGGTGTTCTTACTGAAACAGGGCAGATGCCTGAATTCAGCAAGGTGACAAAGTGTGAAACTAAGTCTACTTTATATCGCAAAGAAGGCAACGAAAAGTATCAAAAACACAACTATCGTGAAGCTCTAATATGGTACAATAATGCTATTTTATTTGCACCAGAAAATTCAACAGCATTAAAATTGGGTTACAGCAACAGATCGGCACTTCTTTATACAATTAAAGCATACAAAGCCTGTCTTAATGACATAGACACTTGCTTCAACATGGGGTGCACTGATCAATCCCTTGCCGATAGACTAGCACAGCGTAGGAGAGAATGCCGTGAGAACATTTCGAGAGATGATAAGAGGCCTATAGTGAAAAGGGGTACGTTCGGAGGGACATTCTTTAATTTTGATGTGAAACGCAACTCTCAAATTCCATGTGTCAGCCATGACGTTGGTGTGGTCAAAGAAACAGATAAGGTAAAGGCCGTTGCAGCAAGAAATATAGAAGTGGGAACTGTAGTTGCATTGGAGACGGCATACGTATGTGAATTAGAACTTGCTCACAAATATTTAGCCTGTTTCTATTGTCACAAGTTTGATCTAAATTTGATACCCTGCGACAAATGTTGCGAAGTGATGTTCTGTAGCGAAACTTGCAAGGTACGCTGCAACAATGAGTTCCATGACATTGAATGCCAAATCATGCACTGTATCAAATTTACTCAGGGTGGAGCTTCGTGTAAAATGAAAATTAAAGCAGCTATTAAAATGCGTAAAAAATGCTTATCGTGGCAAGAATTTATAGAAGCCTCCACAAATATGGGACCTGAAAGGATGAAAAAGAGTTCAGTAGATGAAATATATGACGTGAAGAAAAAATTTTCCCTGCTATGCTTTGACAATGACATTTATTTTCTATATGGCCAACTGTGTGATGCTAGTTTATTAACTGCTATAGTTATATACTATTTGTTGCAAGTGCCATCATTTTTTCCCGAGAGACAAGAGGAAAGAGATAAAGCTATACAAGCGTTTGCACGAGTGATGGTTAATTTGTGTCTTTTTTATAGAAAAGTTGAGATTATGAATCCTACAATGGATCCAGAGACGGGGATACTAGGACACACAATGGTCAATTTCGGGTGGTTCTCATTCAGTGGCAAACTGAAGCATTGTTGCGATGCCAACCTTCTGGTATTGGGGTTGAACAACCGAGTTGCATTAATAGCAATCAAGCCTATCAAAAATGGTGATGAACTGACGATTTCTTATAAGTACGTACGATTTTAGGTAAAGGTGCCTAACGATTTGCTCGATTTTTGGACGATCGACCCTTGTCAATCTACAAAGAAATACTAAATCGTTTGTCTGCTTCTTACACGTCATTTACTCGATTTTATCTAATCTCGTATGTTGATCGTCAAAAAGTACAATGTCGGTAGTCCGTTGCTTTACACAGTTACTCGTTTTGTTCGAACACACGCGACGATCGTCAAAATATCGAGCAAATCTTAAGGCTCAACTCATTCTGGCGCAGGGACGAAGCGTCGTGACGCTTCATGTTTTTCGCCTATAGCATATTCATCTCTATTTTCCATTATTAAGCACAAAGTGTTATGCAAATATGGATTCCCATCCATTGTTTAAAATCGAGCGGTTTTCTGAGATGAGATTCGGCCGCGCTAATGCGACTGTCGTCGCGCGACGACGTGGGTCACCATGCGTTGTAGTTTGTAGTTGAAAAACGGGATGCTACGCGACGCTTGGACTGTGCGCCAGTGTGAGCTGAGCCTAAGGCAATTTCGCTTCGTAGATACACGTATAATTTGATTAATTTTTTCAGAGGCCACTACTTCGAGAGATATTATTGGAAAGACAGTCTTAATTTTAGACCCATAGCTCTGTTTTGTAGCAATCAAATATTGTGCAATTGTCACGTTTGCACCGAGAAATGGTCACCGTTACAATACCGGAATCAAAAGCTAAATACTGAGCAGCAATGTCTAGTGAAGTCTTGTTTTGCAAATGAAAATTCATCGCAAATGGAAAACTTCCGAAATGCATTCATGTTCAAAAAGATTTGCAATGCCTTGACCGCGCTTCAAGATGCCCCGGCTTCAAAGGAATATCTCCAGGTGTTTAAGGAATTCCGAAACTTTACTGGCATATACCAAGTCATGTGTACAGATAACGTCCTCCAAAGTAATAAGTAATTAGGTTTAGAATCGATGCAATTTATATAAGACTTCGACTTCAAAAAAAGGGATTGAGAATTCGATTGTATTTTTTTTGTGTCTATATTACGTGATTTTCGAACATTTGTAAAGAGGGTACCTACTTCAATAGTAGTCCCATTCAAATTTGAAGAAAATATTCCACGGAGTCCTATAAGTGCCAATGACGCGAGTGCGCCGACAGCAAACTATTGCATTGCGCCCGCGCCCCGTGCAGGACAAACGTACTGAAACATCCACCGCTTACCACAGTTTTGCGCATGTTGAGTGACATTTCGAAAGAAATTGACATATTTTATTGTTCGATGTCGAAATTCGCAGACGTTGCCATAGACATTGTATGTAAGAAATAGGTAATTTGTTCCTTATAGTGGCTGTTTTTAATTTTTTTAATATGTATTATAAGTGTATATGTATTTTAATTAATGTATTTAGCAATTAATTAATTATGAATTGTAACAGTGTCGATTTGGACGTATATCTGTAATGATAAAATTGTATTTGTACATCATGGGATGGTTCTGCTAAATACCAACTGGCCTGGATTTACTAGCAAAGCGTGCCAAAAGGCTTCTAAGTGAGTTGGATTTAGTAGAGGTGAAGCTAAAGAACCTTGAACACCGCCGTAAAGTTGCCTGCTTATCGGTGCTCTACGGGATATATCACAGAGAGTGTGTGATGGAATTGCATAATTTAACCATTCCCCATTCCATCATCGTGGAAAAGACAGGTTGGGTTCACCTATGTTGTGGATATTCCAAAGATTCGCACGATGCATTTCGTTCGCTTCGACATTTATAAGGCGAACGGCAAAGGAGTGGAATTTGCTGCAGATTTGTTCACCGGACGTTATAACTTGGACTTTTTCAAGGCGAGAGTGAATAGGGACTGTTTAGGTGTACATGCTACATCGTCGCCCTCATCATCGCTTTCCATCAAGTGAGATGGAGGTCAAATGCGCACTTATAAAATAATAAAATTAAATGAGATCTCAATTTATCACGATGAACGTTTATTCACTAACTTGGCACACATAGAAGAAAAAAATACTATCGTATAATTAAATTACACAAAGCAGTAGAATATAAGTAGATGGAATGTAAGTCAAATTATGACGATATACATATATACTCAATTACACTGCCGCGGAGTAATGATCTCTATGTCAATTATGTAACGTACAAATTACGTAATTAATGAATTTTTTTTTTAAATTTATTTATTTAGTTCAGGCCACATGACCCAAAACACTTAATACTTACTTTAGTGGCAGTAGAAAGAGTTCGTCACTTGATTTTATAAAAGAAAAAACTTCTAATATACGAATTGCACTTGTCGGCGACGTGTGGCTTACAGCTATGTTAGCTGCGGGAATTCTCCGGAAGATGCGTGACCTGTTTTTCAGCATGTGTCTAGTTTGTACGTTACACACTTAGAATAATAACGCATAGAATGATAGTTTCATATCAAACGAACTGTCACAAGTGAGGCAAAAATCAAATTCATGTAGGCTAGTTTTAGTAGTAGGTTAATTTTCGGTTTTAGTGAATATTTATATAAAAATACAAGTTGAAACGCGTTACTTCCTTGTGGAATGTGATGTTAGTATCTATTTTATGTTTGTCTGGCGTATTTTTGCACTCATTTACCGCACATTTCGTCATGTTTAGCTAAAATTCTTGAGCTGTTCGCGGTGCAAGTTGACCTTGAGCTTGAAGGCCCGCCCGCTCGTGTAGTTTGGGCGCGCTTCAATTTGCCTCACTTAGCGTGTGCGAACTAGGTTTCTATGCGTTATTATTCTAAGGTTACACAATTAATAAAAACAAAGTTCACTATGCATTGATAACAAAATTTCCACTTCTATATCATTCCGCAGCAATGTAAATTGAGCCATAGAATAACGCTTTATTGCGGAACTACCACCTAATTAATATAATTAATGTAATATCTAAATAGAGAAACACTGTCATAAAAAGTTAAAATTCTGGAAGAATATTTTTTTAATTTAAATTTTTGGAAAATTTAAGTTCCGCCATTTGTTTAGTCGTTATACATCCATATTACATGGAAGTCTCATTTATGCTCGCCCTTAGTTCTGAAAAATTGTTTTTGTTCTTTAACTTTAGCATATTTTTTATTCTAGGCTCTTAGCGGTTTACATCATGTAGATACTGTTAATAACATAATCCAAGCTGGACGCTCTGGACCAACATATCACAATCATTGAACCTGAAAAACTTTTAATTGGAAATGAAACAATTTTTTCGCATCTAAGAGCGATGCCACCATTGACTTACAAGTAAATGGACGACGGGTCTAATACAAAAACCACGAAAAAAATGTCCCAAGTCAACCTATTCGAAATTTAAATTGTAATGTCATCGCAGTATCGCGCTGTCATGTCAGTAGAACAAAATGAAGACTAAAGCGGAGATAGCGCTCTGTATACGATTTTAGCGCCTTACAAGTGCGGACACTTTTTAGCGCGGACCCGACGTCCATAATATAATTGTAAGTCAATGGATGCCACACATAAATGGGTAATTTTCAGGTTAGTTTTCTTTATCTTCGGTTGTAACTTTTATTATTTAAGTATTAGAGTATATTATCGTGAGGTACTGAATATTACAACAAGAACAGTAGCAGTAGAGCTCCTTGTGAAAGAGTTCGTCCAGGGAAGTACTGTCATTTAACCTATTTGTACCGCTAAGCAGTAATGTCAATATTACTGTGTTCCGGTATTGAAGAGTAAGGGTGCTGATGAAATAATAGGCACATGAGACTTGTCAACTTGTGTCTCAGGGTGACGGGTGAAGTGGCAGTGCCCCTCAGATCTTTGCGATTTTAAGCTCTGAGTGGCACTGCAACTGTTATGGACGGGCGTGTAGCTTACCATCAGGCGCACGACTGTTCGTCCCGTGACTTGATATTATAAAAAAAATATTTCATGATAATATTCTAGAATACTTAATAATAATTAAAAATTGCTACCAAATTACGTAGAGAAATTTAACCTGAAACCGAACGACAAACATGGCGAGTGGAAATGACAGCGTTGTGACGTTCTACGTCCGTGTGACATCGCTCTATATCGCATTACATTTTAACTGGTACAACGCAAAGGCAGCACTAGAAGGGTCGTAATGGAATGTGGGGTACTAGGGGGCAAGCTTAAATGTGAGGTCATTGGACCTTTTCCATGTTAATGACGAACGTTTACTAACTAACTTAATATAGGTATTACACACTTATGTACTAGAAAGGAGTGAGGAATTCCCACTATAGGTGCCGCTGTTGCGCCACAGTCGCGAGGGGTTGCACCTCAGAATGAATGAAGGACAAATTGGAAATTATTATATACCTATCGATAAATAATGTTAAACTATAATGAAGCTTCTTTGTTAATACTTACTACATTTCGATACAATATCCGTACAATTAAAAATTAATGTTTATAGTAGACTTAAATATTTTTATGTAATTGTTTTATTACAAATATTTTTTAAGCTGATTGTTTTTTATTAAGTCTTTGAAAACCTACTTCAAAAAATGAGCACAAAGGTTAATTTACATTGTGTTTTAGTGCCTTTTTAAACATCTAAAAAATAATATGACAAAACCTCTATAACAAAACCGAGTAAGTATTTAGACAACATTTTACAGGAGAGCCCAAAAACACAAATCAAGGACGTCCTTAAACAATTTTCCTTTTAATGTAAAAAAAAAGTAATAGTATTAGGTAGGGTACAGGCAGGTACAGGGTCAAGAGCACGTCAAGCTCGACACTTAAGATTTAAATCCAACTCTATGCCGCTTACGATAAGCGTAGTCCAAAGTGTCAAGCTTGACGTGCTCTTGACTGTACCAATCAACAAATATATTGGTGTCACAAAAATGGTCACAACTTATTACATATTATTTTATACCCTTACTAACTTTGAATATATAAGAACATAAGTTACTGTAGTAGCCAGAATCAAAATACAGCATAAACATTTAGTTAACGCATTAGAAAACCTGAAATAAAATTTGCTTTTGTTTGACTAATTAAATTAACAATATGACTAAGATTTTTAGTATCTCTAAGTTTATTATCCACTATTCGCCAATTGAAATTCTTAGGAAGGCGCTTAAATTAAAACCTAGCAAGTATCAAATATTTGCAACATTTGAGACTATGCCTTACTAGATTTTAAGGTTTCAAAATCTCTGACAAATTGTAGAATTTTGAAGCAGCTGTCACTGCAATTGCCTAAGTACTTACTATGGGTGAAAAAAAAGAAAAAATTTGCCCTTTACTGGGTTTTGCTTAGGAGTATACGAAACCTGAAGACGCCGCCGACCGCGATGACACCACGATCGGCGTACATGACTGATAAGCACGCAGTTGGTATTGTTAGTTTCAAGCGTTACACGTTGTAACGTGTCAAAATAATGATGGTTTGAAGTCAGGACATACTTTTAAATAACAATCGACAAAATGGCTTTTGACACATTGCTTCTATAGTAATAAAGAATACTTAGAATTTAGAACAGTAGAAACCGAACACGAGTCAAGAGCACGTCAAGCTTGACACTTAAGACTTAAATCCAACATTCAATGAGAACGGTCCAAAGTACAAAGTGTCAAGCTTGATGTGTGACTGTACCTCTGCTTGCAGGTTGAATACAATGTACCTAATTTTATTTAAGATCTTTCTCATTACTGTATTCTGGCAAATAAACGTATTCTATTCAAAATTATTTCACATGAAAAAAAATCGTCGTTCTTTACAACCATATATTTAATTTTGGCACATCAATCATTATAATATAATAGGCGATTTAATCTTAACTTATTTATTATGGATTAAGCAAACTCTCGTACAGAAATATTATGGCTGAAATAGCTGAGAGTAGTGTTGGTTATATGAAATTAGTTATTTGAGCATAAATACTTATTTTACGATAGTGACAATTAGGAAGAAAAAATCAAATCATAGGAAATATGCTTCCTTGGAATATTCGAAGAACACAATATCTAGTAATTTTTAATCAGTCATCTTGTATTGATGGTACACTTTATTATTGCGGCGGAGGACTTAACCACACTTACCGCGTTACTAACCGCCATTAAATCCTTATAACGCATTTACACAGTGGACTCGCCTCGCCATTTACTCCGAGTCGTCTTCTCTTCGCCGTGCCCGCCAAGGCGGCAAACTACCCGGTGTAAATAGTAAGCCGTCTGACGACGGTACCTTACGGCCGAAGTCGACTTGATGTAAATGGCGAGCCGACAACGTCGCCTTCGGCAGGCGAAGTAGTCTGCCTAAGTTAGGTAGACGACCCGGTATAAATACGCCATTCGGTACGATATATGTTAAGTACTTTGCTTGACTCCCGCCACACAACAAATCAATAGTTATCTATAGTTAATACATATATAAAGTTGTTTTTAATGCAAATAGTCATTAGGAATAGTATAAACATAATATAACTACTCGTAATCCAAAATGCAATTTGAAGAATTAACATTTTGGAAATATAGGAAACATTGTCTGAAAAACCTATACACTTCTCCATATTCTTCTGAAAATGGTACATTGGATAAAATAGCTAGCACTTTACAAACTTTTCTGAGAATTTCTGGCAAATTTCTTACATTGAATCGTTCTTTCAATTCAGTAATGTTAAGTTTATGGTAGTGTTTTTTCTGGACGTCTGTCAGTTCATCAACAGTTGTGATATTCAAACTATCTCGAACGCAGAAGTTGCAGTTACAAGCTGTTCCATTCAGCGTAAGCATGATTGTTTGTACCGAGCGCTTCCTTCCTGAACGGTCTAGCCAATGCCCACTGGAAAATAAAATTACAGGTATTAAATTTCATAGCACGTGATTAGAAGGCAAAGAAAAAATCCTAGAAAGTATAGTAAAACAAAACTATGAAATTACAACCTCCAGAAGTACATTTAAGACTGTACTTGCATCTCTTTGCCTGCATCTCTGAGTTTTTTTATACTTACATATTTATACACTACAGCAAATATTGTATAGTTTTTATGTGTAGTGTTAGTTGTATATATCTAGTGACAGCCAGTGAATAGAGGAATACTGAATCTAAAAATACAAACATTGCTTAATTTGGGATTCACGATCAACCTGTCAACCGTGACCATGGGACCTGTAAAGGGCCCGAAACATCAGTTTGTTTGAAAAAACAAATATAGCGATTTAAATCCGGAAAAATAGTTTCATTTCCTATGGGATTCAGGAGTTTTAATTATTTTATAGTATAAGTAGCATGTACAATCATAGATTTAATATTTCAATACAGTTTACTGTTTTATCTTATTTTTTTGTCTTATTGTATGTGAATCTAAAAGAAATAAATGTTATTATTTAGGAATCAAATGGATGTAGTTAAACAAAAAGGAACCAATGCACATCCAGTCACATTCGAGATATGACAGTTTAAAAATGTTTCCAACTCTTGTTTCATTCTCAAAACTTATAATGTCATTATCGAGGACAGACCCTCTTTACAGTTTTTAGTAATTAGTCTATGTTTAGCTCTTTGTCTCTATGTCTTTTTCTTCTAGTGTGCTTGCTACTTCTGCTGTTTTTTCTGTTTGTTTTTCCTCTCTAATAATACACTTCTTCCTACCTAACCTGCCGTTTCCTTCACTGGATTCGCTTGGATCCTTTTTGTTTAACTGCATCCAAATGTAATTGCAACAGTAAAAGATCCAGTCTTTAATTAACTTAGTTTCTACTTGTTTTGCACTTTTAGCCTCGCACTAGGGAAACCTTGTATAACGGGTGCTCCAGACAAATGCATAGACAAAATTGCACCCAAACTCATGAGAGAAATATACTATATTATCCCGGCCCAAGGAATCGAACCTTGGAGCTCTGTGTGGCAGACTGCAGAGCAGATTAGAGCAGTTAATTGTGAACTAAATACATTTTTATTTGATTTACTTACACATAAGACACTGATAGTTCAGTGCCACGTTTTATTGGTTGCTGGGCCACTAATCCTACAGCGTTATTGAGTCCGACGACTAGAACATTTGCATCACATGAGCTATTCAATTTTCCAAGGAAAGAGAACCAGCCAAAGTTTGGTATGTCATAAAATTCTGTTTTCTCCCTCTTCTTCACTGTTACAGATGGAACCACTAGACTGGTAGTTGTATGCAAAGACAAGAACAATAGCATTCTCCCAACAGCACGTTTTGCCTCATCTCTCTCTTCAGGCAATTGAGGATAAAATCCCGGTACACTCTCCAAATAATAAACAATGAAAGCACAGTTAATACTAGTATTGTACATTGGACCGTGCAAAAAATGCCTCTCGTCTTTAATATTGAGCAGTGAAAACGTACTCTTTGAATCATATATTTTGTTTATAGAGCTAGTTCTGGCCCTACTCAATCCCATGTTACGAGATGCAGCAATCATTTCTGACCAGGATCCACACATTTGTTTCATTTTTAGTACTGCGAGTAAAGACAGCCTTAAAGAAGTACCGAGGGTGTGATTGTTTAACATATCTATTATATGACATTCAACACCATGGTACTCTAACATACATTTATCTCTGCATGTATTACCACAAAAGAGTGCATAACAACATCCTTCGCATGGCTGCAAGTTAAATTGCATTTTATGACAGTAATAACACGCAAAGCGAGCATTAGAAGGATCATTCATACCAATAAAAGCTTTCTCCAGAGCAATAGGTGTTCCGACTTTAATGTCAGTGGTAGCAACAATTTTTGGCACATCATTTTCTATTATAACTCCAACGTCCATACTGGCACATGGTATCTGAGGATTACGTGGCTCGATCAATTTGAAATAATCTTCACAAAATATACTTCTAGCAGAACACTCAGCTAATGTCTCTGCCCATACCTTGCTGTTCGCATCTTCTTTTCTGGTTCTCAATTTTTCTATGATGTCAAGTGGACAGCCCAGTGAGAAACACGTGTTTATATCGTTCAGACAGGCACTTAATGCGTTGACTTTGTGGAGTAAGGCAGATCTGTTACTGTACGCTAGTTTTAGAGCTCGGGAGTCTTTAGGGGCATATAACAGAGCCTTGTTGTAGCAAATCAAGGCAGACTGCAATTTATTACGTGCGTATGCACGGTTGCCTTCATTGCGAAACTCTGTTGATTTACTTTCCGATTTATTTTCTTTGGTAATTACAACAGGTAAACTATTAATTAAGTGAAGGATATCAAACATCTTCATTACAATCACAGACAAATCAGGATTCGACATAGATTTGTAGACATCATCAATTAATCCATTGTGTAACAAAAAGTCGTTAAAAAGCATAGCTTTCTTCATCATTTTACCTAAAAAGATAAGTATTAAACTCAGTATTGATGATACAGCGTTTATACATGTAAACAATATAACCTAAATAATTACTCACCGGCCTTTTACCTTTCAACACTACGAAACAACTACGAAACGCTACAAAATTCAGTCAGGTCCTATTCTATCCACAGATGACGCCAATGCGCTTCACGATACGATTATTTTAATTGCTAATTTCGCTGTATGACCATACAAACAAATAAAATAAGAAATAATATGCAAATAATAAAGGTTTTTTTTTCTTAATGAATGGCTTGTGAGATTACTTAGTCTCAATTCTGCCAGTGTCCGTTTTCTAGTTTCATAAACGTTATGGAGGGTTTGAATTTTGTTCGGTGACTCAGAGGGAGAATCGAAGAGATTTTTGCACAAATTGAATTCTAGAACAAAGGAGACGGCACAAATTAGACAACACAAGTCCTTAGAAACATATACATATTATGTTAAATATAGTGCTAGTGCATGAATAATATTTACAGTTTAATATGATTTACATGTAGGAATTTAAAAAGAATATGATACATTTTTGGGTGAGAGGATAGGGCCAAAAGGCATTTAAAGGAAATAGGACGAGGGATAGAGGGAGGGAGGATGTCATATAGGGAACACCGTAATTTAGGGCAGTCAAAAATATATGGTCCACGTTTCCTTCGTCTAGACCGCATTCACACAATGAGTTATCTTTTATCCTAAGTTTAGGCAAATGAATAGGAGTACACGATAATAAAGGTTTGTCCTTGTTGTACGTATTAGCTATCGTCCTGCCATCCGGCTAAAAAACGCATTATTTGTACAGTAAGTTTATTTTCTGAAAGTAGGTCATCAATATTATAGTTTGAGCTAAAGTAAATGATAAATGGTTTGAGTAATACAATTCATTATTTTTAATTGTGTTATTTTAATTTTTAAATATAATTTTAATCTTTTATCCAACGATTATTATTATATTAGTCTTCCAAATTATAATAATATTAATTAGTATTAATATATTGTTGTGTTAGTACACTAGTTCTTAAGTTGTTTGGTTTACTAACTCTATATGGATTTTATCTGAAATAAATATTTGAATTTGAAATTATTTGCATTTTACAGTTTTTGACTTGTCTTTATAAACGACGAAATTTATAGAAATGAAAAGGAAACGGGCAAGATAATGTGAGATATAAAAAGCAATTAGTATCTATAATGGCCGAATTATTAATTACATAAACAACAGCTGAAATATATTATTTTCTATAGATAAGTTTGTAAGAAATAGTTATTGGACAATAGCAAATGATGGATGGAAGTGGGAAAAGGGACATGGGATTGGTTAAATGTAAAATAAATATCTTTAAAAAGGAAAAATCGAGGTTTATTACTGTTAACATGGTAACCTATGCTTACAGCGTTCATAAAAAAATGCAATAACATTGACCTACAACTATAGAAGAAAAAAAGAATTTACGTTTGGATCATTGACTAGTCAATGGTTTGGATACAATTTTTTTGGCTGATCCATAATTATCGTTGCTTCGTTAATTGAAAGAAAAATAATCTACCTAAGTATTGTCATAGATCATACACTCTATAATCTATATTTGTCGAAGTTTCAATTTTAATCTGACGCCTTTTTGTTTCATTCATTCTTTCATACATTTAATTTATAATGACTATCGTGAAACAGTTATATTTAGTGTTTATTATCTATCATTACATCAGCGTGTAACGACAGGTGCAAATAATATTATCGTAGACCTTAATTTGTAATTCGTGTCGGTTTCATAAATTCACACAAGGTGTTGTGTTAGATACATACAATATATAAGAATGTTAGAAGAAACATAAACAGTACAATAGTGGGTAAGTAATACTTTTAATAAATATATTTTGTTGAGGTGTCCCGATCACGGTATATGTAAGTAATCTAATCATTATGTGTTGTTTTTTTTTATACAGTGACGGTAAATGCCCGCGACTGCGGGTAATGCCTACCTTAGAGCATCAGAAGTACCTTACGTTTTGATTTGATATTTAAAATCAAAATTTTTGCATCATTTTGGTGATTCCCCTGTGTGGAAGTACTTTGTGCTGTGTAGATAGGTACAGTGGAAAAAGTATCGATACTTTTTGGTATCGAGTACTTTTCCTTCCGATACCGATACTTTTGTACTCGATACTTTTCAGGTATTAGTACTTTTGGACTAGTGTCGTATCGTTTTGAATAATGGCAACCTTCATCACAAATGACTTGGCTGTATAGTGTATGCCACCATTTGGCGTTCTAAAAAAATGAGAGTGAAGAATTTGAATTATCATACCTGACAAACATTATAATTGAGTACCTCGCAATTCCGGCGAAGTTTGTACCTTCTTCAGAATGTTTGTTCTCAAAAGCAGGCAATACAATATCAAAAACGGGAAACAGACTGTTACCAAATAGATTTTTGTTATCATGGGTCGGAAAAAGGTGTTCCACATACATAGATACATGTATAAGATATAGCTACAAGGAGCGACTTGATATAACCATCAAATATTAATTAATTACTGTTTCGAATTCCGGATTTCCGGAAATGGTTTTACTGCATCGTAGGACAAAATTACTGACCTAGGAAGTCGAAGTTGGATTTTGAAGTAATTCTAATGGTGTCATGTAAAAAATGTAGTAAATAAGTGACCTTTTTCTAAAACAATAAAAAGTAACGAGAATGGTCACTCTCCGCCCCTCCCTAGCTTTAGATACCGCATCAATACATGGTCACATTGACGGAACGGCGAAATTTGCTATTAGACCTTAAGAAAAATAATTAATTTAAAATTTTATTTACGAGCGGAATTTTAGGACATTTTAGTTTGCATGAGAACGTTGTGATCGCGCTCTAAAAATATTTAATTTAAATATTAAAACACAGTACAACAGATGTTCATAAATTGCAACCACTAGCAGAAATATCGTATTTTGAAAGGAAAATGTTCACACTTGATTATTTTAATACTGTTTGTAAAAAAAATGCTGGACGTTGAAACAAGACAAAAAGTGTCATTTTTGACGGCCATTTATCTTCATAAATAGATTAAAGAGGGGAGTTTCTTTTATCCGGAAATTCGGAATTCGAAAGAGTAGTTCTATTGTATTTTCTACTGCATTTTTTTACATGATACCATTAGAATTATTTTAAAATCCAACTTCGACTTCCTAGGTCAGTAGTCTGTCCTACGATGTAGTAAAACCATTTCCGGAAATCCGGAATTCGAAAAATAATTAAGTAATATTTGGAGGCTTTAACAAGTGTATGTTGCTTCATGTAACTATTATTATTAGGGTGGCTTCATTCGGGGCATATGTAGCCCCTCATCACTGTGACCATCAGTTGATCTATTGTGATCACCACTAATTACAGTTCTGATCCAACGCCGACAGCATTGAAGAACTGAAGGACTTTCCTGGCTCCGACAGATGTCCTCTGGTTGTGGCATGTGCCTTCCCAGGAGTTTCATCCGCCTCGTGGCAGAATCTACACTCTCTATTCTCTCTCTGCCCAATATTTGACATATGCTTGTTCAAGCCACAATATCCTGTTAAGACTCTAGTGAGCATTCTGATGCCATTCCTGTCCAATGACAGAGCTTCTCTACAGTGTTTGGCACTGTAGGCAGCTATCAGGGCTTTTAAATGCTCAAAACCCTTACTCTGTAGCTACACTTCTCGGGAGACGTGTGTGCTCTCGTTCAGCAGAGTGAGCATTGCCAAGCTGTATGCTATCCCCATAAAAGGTTCGGGTTCAATAAAGGGTTTTTGCCAGTTCGTCTGCAGCCTCATTTCCCTCGACGTCAGAGTGACCCGGAACCTAGTGCAAGACCACTGTATTCCTTTCCCCGAGAGCATTCAGTATAGTCACACAGTTCGCTACAATCCCCGATGTTGGGGTGACAGAGGTTAGTGCATGTAGAGCGGCTTGACTATCTGAGTTTATGTAAATATACGTAGCCTCTCTTCAGGTTCAAATCCGCACAAACAAATATGGCGTACATTTCGGCCTGAAAGATAGAGGAGTGGCATCTTGGGACGCCATCCTCTGAATTTGGATTCAGCTTATAGCTGAACCTGGGTCTTACGCCGTGTATACCACAGCCTACGTTGGATCCCATCTTAGACCCATCGGTATACCAAAGAAGGCTACCGTCCTTCCAGGTAAGACTGTTGGTTTTCCAGTCTTCCCTGGTTGGAAATTCTACCTGGTAGAGTTTTTTAAAGTTTTGCTTGGGAAGCATGACGTCAGAAGTTATTCCCAGAACAGGTGTTCCAGAATTGAGTCCTGGGTTGATCTCAATGTCTGGGAGAGCCATCTAGTCCTGAAGTTGGTGGTGAGCTAGTACATGCTGGTACCGTCCTCCTTCTGTATGAATATATGCAGAGGAGTCAGATTCAGCAATTCATTTAGGGCCGCCCCCGGAGTAGTGGACATGGCTCCCGTTATTAGCAAGCACGCGATGTGCTGTAGACTGCTCAATGTGGTAATAGTGGTTGTTTGGCTGGCTTTAGCACTCCAAACAGTAGAGGCATATGTCACTATGGGCCTCACTATTGCCTTGTATATCCACAGAGTCATCTTTGGTTTTAGAACCCAACGCTGTTCCGCCATACGACTACAGATACCCCTTAGGGTTTGATCTAGGGTTATTCCAAAATATTTAACCTCTACGGAAAAACTCACAATCCTGCCACCAAGGATCGGTTCCACTAGTTTGTCTAGTTTCCGCTTTCCAGTGAAGGGGACTATGTTTGTCTTTTCCGCGTTAATAGATAATTCGTTATCTTGACACCAAGCGGAAATGGTGTCGAGAGCTTTTTGTATAAGTGATGATATGGTGCTTTGGTAGTGCCCTCGAACTGTGATCACTATGTCATCCGCATATCCCTGAGCGTCATTATTCAGTTCGGCCAACCTGTACAGGAGCTGATCCCCAGAAGGGTCCACAGGAGAGGAGAAATTACCCCACTTTGCGGGCAGCCCCTTACCGTGGAAACCACAAGCTGGTCCCCGTGTAACTAGATACTGGCCCTGCGGCTTAAAAGCATGTTTTGCACCTACCGCGTAGTAGAAGAGTCTACACCTTTGTAGGTTAGTCCCTTCACCAAAGTACACCCATTCGTACTTCCATTCCATTGTCAAAAGCTCAGTGTCTAGAAAGGCACACAGTGCTATCTGTTTGTCTTCAAACCCTCTTTCAACTCTGTCCACAAGGTAGAGTAGGGCTGTCTCTGTGGATTTCCCACTTTGATAGGAGTGTTGAGTGTGATGGGTAGGCGTACGTATTAGGGACGAAGCCTTAATGTGATTATCAAGTACCTTCTCCATTGCTTGGAGGATTCGCCAAATGATGTAAAGCAGATGGGTCTAAAACTGCGTCATGCCAAAAAGATCTACTCAGAACTCAGCGCAGTCTATACGTGAATAAAAGTAACGGGCCAAATGGAATTCCAGCTATGGTCCTGCGTAAATTTGTGCCTGAGTTGTCTCCTGTTCTCAGGTCCTGTGCAATCTGTGCCCAAAAAAAGGGAACAATGTTGACCTGAACACTATAGACCTGAGTCAAGCACTTCCATATTTTGCAAGACTATGAAACGTGTTTTTAATAACCATCTTCTCGATAACGACTTCCTCAGTGATCGCCAGTACGGATTCTGACGAGGGTGATCTTCTTGTGTATGCGTTTCACATGTGGAGCGAGGCTATAGAAGAGGAAGGCCAAGCACTTGCAATGTCTTGGAATATTTCTAAAGCCTTTGACAATATCTGGCATGCAAACCTTAAGCAAGCTTCACTCTTATGGGCTTGCCAATGACCTTTGCAATTGGATCTCGGATTTTTTTGAGTGAGTGTTCGATTCGATCTTACTACACTACATTGGGTGGTAGAGTTTCGGAGTGCGTCAGGGTTCCGTACTGTCCGCAATACTCTTTCTGCCGCATATCAACGATATATTAATTCCAGGTACCTTCAGGTATAGTGATTACAGCACTGTTGTAGATAGGTAGGTACTTGATCAATGCAAAGGTCAGTGGAAAAGAAATCTAGTCTTGTCCAGAGTCTATTTTAGTCGTTTGGATTCGACACTTCGGTTGTCTCTGATTAGGGTGGTGCCAAACTTATAAAATGGAACGTTCAGAAACGCAGGCGTGTCTTTCTCCACAAAATGGAGTCCCTTTGACCTGACTCCGACTGTTTGTGATATATAGAGCATAGGTGACACGGTTTTGTTGCTATACTGCTCGCGCACCCCTCGCTATCCCAAAAGTTACCCGTTTCCGTCTCGAGAAGGACGCTGTCGCTGTGAGTTAGGTACCCAAATTCCTAGCATTTAATTAACGTTTATTGACCATTATTAACTAGGATACAATGATATTATGAGTTACACACTTACGTTTCAATAGTTTGAAGACAAAACCGAAAATGCCGAAAATATCGGTTTTTTTAACTGAAAACCGGGTTCCCAAATTGACGGTTAACCGGTTTTTTCGGTTGACCGGGTAACCGGTTTGCATGCCCTACCCGGGACGTGGCGGGCCGTGCTAGTTTGTATGAATTGCGGGCCCGTCCCGGCGCCGGCCCGGACACGGCCATGTGTGAACGAGTTCGTACAAAATACACGCAACGATATTTTTTTGAGCCCCTGACGGAGCACGACCCCGACTGTGAGAAGAAATATGTTGACTACTTAGCAAAAAAAATGGTAATTGCATTATTATATGTATGGAAAAAATTATAAGAAAAGAAGATACAAGACAATTTACTGGATTCATCCAATTTTGCAACAAAAAGATGAGTTTGGTACACTTTATCTTACACTGTGACAACATGAGGGAAAGTTTATCAAATATTTTCGTATATTTTCGCAATAAAATTAGTGGTGCAACAATGGTACTTTGCAACACCAGTCCACGCGCGTCGAGTTGGTGGTAGACAAGGTTTTTTTCTTGTCCGGGGCCGAGGCAGTGTACACAGTTCGTGTGTAGAAACGACACGAATTCTTGCATAGACCCGGCGATTTTTCTTAGCTTGAACACGCGCCCTAGCTGTGCGCTAATACAAGAATACAAGATATTTATTCGCTGAAAAATGTAGTTTACAATGGTGTTATAGTATATTATTATTAGATCGTACATTTCACCAAAACTTGGCATGCGAATATTTTATACAATTCTTATTTAAATCACGCACAGTGGTTAAATTTTACATTTTATGTTATCAATTAAGAAATCATTTATATTGTAGTAGCATTGTGTAACTAACAAATTATGTAATTTTATTTTAAATTGCCTACAATTTAGTTCTTTAACTGTATCTGGTATTTTATTAAATAATTTAGGTGCCAATATAAACATCGTTCTATTGTAAAATTCCAAGGTGGGGCGTTGTTTTGGCCGTATTTCTATTTTGTTCCTTTTTTTCCTGGGATATCTGGTTTTCACTAGATTAAAGTTGCCTGGATTTTGTTTTATATAAACACAGGCCTCGTAAATATACATAGATGGTAGGGTTAAAATCTTTAGTTCTCTAAAATAGGGTACACAGCTTTCTCGCTGGCCCACACCAAACATGGCCCTGACACATTTCTTCTGGGTTTTAAACAGTGGTGTAATATGTGTTGCAGCAGCGTTCCCCCAAAGCAGCAATGGTTTGACCATCCGTCTCTCAAGCAGGCCACGGGCTTGCACCTCTAATTTTTTCGGAATTTATGTGCGAAATTTTATTTGAAATTTACTACGAGCTTTTCGGTGAAGGAAAACGTCGTAATTAAAACCTGCACGTCGAAGAAGGTTCACAATCCTCGGAAAACGTGTGAAGTGCCCAAGCCGCATTGGGCCAGTGTGGAGGACTATGGCCTAAAAACCCTCGCCTGAAAGGATACCCGCGCCCAGCAGTGGGATATATAGTCACATTTCGTTATATGTTAAACCTATTCAGTGTATGTAAAAATCTATTTAGTGTAGCAACCATGGGCGCCCCTGGTTCTTGGGGGCAAATCAGATTTTTTTTAAGCCGTATCCCGCGCGCTTGTTTTGTCTTGCACACTACACGAAAGATTAAGTACATACGGAAAACACCAAAACTGCTAATTTATAGGTGCCTAGTCAAATAAATAAACAAATTATGATAGGTATTTTTTAATTAAATTTTTATTGAATTGATATTCAATTATTTTTTGTGAAATGACTCCACTAGTTTGTTATAATTATTAATACAAAGATCGAACACTCAGAAAAAATTCCTTCGATCCGGTCGAATTCGAACCGACGTCTTCTTGCATTGCGACTAAAAAGTCGCTGAAGTACAAAGACACGACGCAAGCACATAGAAAAATTCGTGAGGTCCGTTGGTTCGTTCCGAGGCTTAGTTGGTATAGCGTCTGACACGGTATGCAAGAAGGTGTTTTTTATTTAAATTCTTTAATTGTATAGGATAGCTATTTTAAAAGTAACTTTCGAGGATCTTCAGCCAAACGGTTTATGACGTCTTCAACGTCGTCGTTAACAATTTGTCTGTATACGTACACTGAGCATACAAAGCCCATTTAATCTGTCTTCGATCATACATCTCAGCTACGTTTTTGCGTCTGAGTGCTGAATGACCTTTTAATAGTAGCAGTGTATTTTTTATAGTTGTATATGTATGCCTTTGAATAGTTGTATTGCAAAATGAAATATTATATAATTATCGACAACAGTAGATAGTATGGAGTACGCCCATGGTAGCAACTGCATTCTTAGAAATTAAATATTACTTTTTATCATTTCAGGTGACAATATAATATACTTACCTCATAACATTATCTATTAACAACAACAGAAAAAATGTTAAATGGAATATATGACTATTTAACAATGCGCGGTTACATGGGCCAGTTATACGAATTATTACGACAAGATGACTACTCTAAAATCGTCATTGCAGCCCTGGATGCTCTTACCAAGACAAAGGTGTTTGTTGAATTAGTCAAGGTGACAAAGAATGACCAGAGGTCTACTGAATTTCGCATAAAAGGTAATGAGGCATATCTAAATTCGAACTATCGTGATGCCTTTAGATGGTACAACAATGCTATCTTATGTGCAACAGAAAATTCAAGAGCATTAAAATTGGGTTACAGCAACAGGTCGGCACTTCTTTATACAATTAAAGCATATAAAGCCTGTATTAATGACATAGATACTTGTTTTAACATAGGACCCTCTGACCATCTCCTAGCCGAGAGACTAACACAGCGTAAAAACAACTGTCAGCGGCGGCAATGGATAGCTGATTTTCAGGTTTTGATGGAAAGGGACACATTTGGAGGTACCTTCTTTAATTTTAACGTGGAACGCAACCCTCAAATTCCATGTGCCAGCCTTGATGTTGATATAGTTAAAGAAACTGACAAGTTGAAGGCTGTTGCTGTAAGAAATATAGGAGTGGGAATCTTAGTTGCGTTGGAGAAAGCATATGCATGCCAATTAGACGAAGAAAATCAATACATGGCTTGTGAATATTGCCATAAGTTTTATTTCAACCTGATACCCTGCGACAAATGCTGCGAAGTGATGTTCTGCAGCGAAATTTGCAAGCAACGGTGTAACAGAGAGTTTCATAACGATGAGTGCCAAATCATGCATTTTATGAATGGCATTGGAAGTGGGTGTCGTTTGGCAGTTCGAGCCACTATTAAAATGCGTAACATGTGCTCCTCTTGGTCAGAGTTTATTGAGGCCTCAAAGAATATTGGCGCTAAAAGGATGAAAGAGAGTTCAGTAAATGAAATATATGATGTGAACAACAAATTGTCCATGCTTTGCTTTGACAATGAACTTCATTTCCGGTATGGTAGACTATGTAATGCTTCTTTCATGACTGCTATGGCAATACACTTTTTGTTAAGACTGCCATCATTTTTCCCCGAGAAACAAGTGGAAAGAGTTGAAGCTATACAAGCTTTTGCACAAGTGATGGTTAACTTAGGTGTTCACTATACAAAAATTAACATTCAGAATACTACAAAATATTTCAATACGGAGAAAGTAACAAGAGAGATGGTGTGCAATATTGGATGGTTCTCATTTACTGGCAAACTGAAGCATTCTTGCGATGCTAACCTTCTAGTATTGGGATTGAACAACAAAATTGCATTAATAGCAATCAGGCCTATCAAAAAGGGCGATGAACTGACTATTTCTTACGTGTAAGTATTACATGAGGCAATTCAAGTGAATTGTTACCTACTAGATATATACTACTGATATCGGCAATGTATGTATCCGATGTTTCCGGTATTCCGGCTTAAAACAAGCAATGTATGAAATAAACTATATTAAATACACTTGGTCTAGGTATTCTATACAATGCCGAACGTGCATTAGGCAATGTATATTAAATTTGTTAAATGTATGTAAGTGCACAAAGCAATTTTTTTTTTATGATACAAAGTGACGGGACGAACAAGTCCTGCGCCTGATGATAAACGACACGCCTGTCCATAACAGTTGGAGTGCCACTCAGAGCTTTAAATCACAAATATCTGCGGTGCGCTGCCTCTGCGCCCATCACCCTGAGACATAAGTTGAAAAGTGCCCCTCTGCCTGTAATTTCACCAGCACCCTAACCCTTCAAAACTGGAACGCAGTAATGCTCACATTACCGCTTGGCGGCAGAAATAAGTAAGCTGGCAATACTTCCCTGGATGAACTCTTTCACAAGGAGCACTACTGCTAGTAAATATGTATTATAGTGATGATAGGAGTATAATAATGTGATAATAGGAAGTGCTTATGTTAAGAAGAATATTATATGCACGTCCAAATGTCACAATAGTTCATCTTGTGAGATTAAGTAGAAGGGTTGTTGCTGATGCAGTTTTTTTAGCAAAAATATACGTTCTTAATGAATCTATCTACATGAAAAAGATTTCTATGTTATTTGGTATTGTAATAATATATTATTTCAATAATTTTGTAACACTCCTTAACATTTTTTTTTTCAATATTTCAATCTTCACGAAAACAATCTATTTGCCTATCTTAATCGTTGTGGAATTATATCTAAGGTAATAAGTTATATGTTAAAAACAACAGCTGAGTTGTTTTTTTGGCTTACATACATGTCACGACTCGAGCATCCACAATGAATATCATAATCAATGGTTGCGGATGTTTTAATTTGTGCTAATATTCCATCATCATCACAGCATCAACAGCCTATCGTAGTCCACTGCTGGACATAGGCCTCTCCCAATACGCGCCATTTCGCCCGGTCCTCAGCTCGTGGCATCCATCTGCTGCCAGCAGCCCTTCGCAAATTGCCACTCCATCTGGCCAGAGGGCGTCCTGCACTACATATGCCGAGCTGTGGTCTCCACTCAAGAACTCGCTTCCCCCATCGGTTATCGGTTTTTCGATAGATATGTTCAGCCCACTGCCACTTCAGCTTGCTTATTCTACCAGCTATGTCGACTATCTTAGTTCTCTGTCGGATAACTCGTTCCGTACCTTGTCCTTCAAAGAAACTCCGAGCATACCTCGTTCCATAGTTCGCTGAGCGATTTTCAACCGGAGAACTAACCGTAACGTGTGTCCGTTTCATAACAGGTAAAACGCACTGGTTGAAAACCTTTGTTTTCAAACTTGCTATATTCTATTATAGGTATATGTTAATATTCGTAACAGCCGTAATGAGTAGGTAATTAGAAGAATTAGTAATTAAATTACAAATGATACTTGTTTAGGAACATCCCTATTTTTTTCGAACGAAATATTATATTACATTAACAACAAAAATTCATACGGTTTGTATGAAATTACTGCCGTCGGCTAAGAGACAAATTTTTTTTTTTTTGAGATATAAAAAAACCATAACCCAGTTTTAGAATATTGAAATTTTTTAATGATATTTCAGCTATGCATCGTTAGGGTAAGTTTAGATAAGGCGTACATGTTAACTAATTTCAACTGTTTATACATTGACTTACAAATAAGTGGACGACGGGTCTAATACAAAAACCACGAAAAAAATGTCCCAAGTGAACCTATTTAAACGTAGTGACATGTAAAGTTATATGAAATTTTTTTTTAAGTTTATAAGTTTACCTATTTATTGTTAATTTTTCAAAAAATTTTATAAGCATTTTTATTTATCAGGTATTGTTATTTTATGATATTATTATGTTATTAATAATTCTTATGTTTTGTAGTTGAGCCGTATATGCTCACTATTTCTTGTTTATATTTGTGGAACTCTAGGTCTAATTATTTTAATCAATGTTTTAGTAGAACCCCGGTTTTATGACTGTTTGTTTCCCTGAATAAATAAAAAAAAAAGAAAAAGTTAAAACGTTGAATTTAAATTGTAATGTCATCGCAGTACTGTCTAATTTTGCTTGCTTCGCTGTCAGTCGAACAAACGAAGACTAAAGCGTGAATGACGCTCTGTATACGATTTTAACGCCCTATAAGTTCGGACACTTTTTAGCGCGGACCCGACGTAATACGACATGTAAGTCAATGTGTTTATATAAGAGAATTTTGTGCTGTATTCTTTGGTATTTAAATCAGTCATTTGACCATTTATCACTTAGCCGAGTTTTAGTTAGTGGACGACAGATTAGACTATCTCTGTGGTCGAGCCGGTCGGGTTAATGTAGAAAACTAGCTTCTATATTGTCTAGGGTCTGAGTGTTGTGATACCGTCATTGCTTTGATCAAAAATACCTACAACACAGTGCTTTAGTTATTTGGGATCAAAGCAACGTCTGTGATGTGATGATGTCTAATATTTACTTATGTGTTTTTTTTTTCAGTGGACACTACTACGATTACTTACATCCGAGACCATTTAGCTTGTTTTGGCACAATATACAATGTGATTGTCGTGTATGCACTGAAAAATGGTCGACATTACAGTTTCGCGATCAAACATTAAGTACAGAAGAGCAAAGTGCTATGTCTAGTATTATTGACAGCCACAACCCGCAAACGGATGAAATTCTGTTCAAAAATATATGCGATTGCATGATCATACTTCAAAACGCACCTGCCACAAAAGAACATCACCAATTATATCATGGATTTCGAAAGATGATTAGTTTCTATCAAAACTTGTATACTGACAATTATTCAATACTGTAGGAGTGTTGTCCTAAGTGGTGAAAAACTAGAATCTAAACAACTGACATTTTGTTCTGTTAAACTTAATTTTATTAAACTTAGTTGAGTATTTCAATGATTAAGGAAGTTAAATAAATGAAAATAATATATTCCCAAAGAATGTTTATTCTTAACCGACTTCAAAAAAACGAGGAGGCTCTCAATTCGACTGTATTTTATTTACGTATGTTACGCAATGACTATGGATTTGTGAACCGATTTTTATGTTTTTTTTGTCGGAAAGAGGCAAACTAGTGGTTGAATCCGGTTTCGCGCACTTTCCAGTAACCGATTTCAATAAAACTTAGCAAATAGTTGTCATTCCCGGAAATTTTGAGGTCGATTCTTTGTACTTATACCTAAAAAGTTACAATTATTTAATTTCAAAAATTAAAAGGAAAATGCGTACGCTAGTGTTTTGACCATTAAGCATAGGTTATATACTCGATAGTTTTGACCTTGCTAACCTATTCGTACTACTTGTATTAAAAAAATATACACTTCCGGATATATAATTCGAGCCACCACGCCATACGACTCTTTAATTATTCGAAACTTTTTAGTTTTATAAAATTAATTAATTAACATGTAATTAATTTTATGACACTAATTTCGTAATGTAAATTAGGCTACAAGTTAGGTGCTGTTGTTCTGAAGATTGAAGAAATATGCCGCCGAAATCAGCTTATTTCACGGTGAAGAGAAAAACACTTTTCTGTTGTGGATGTCATGAATTTGAGATAGTGCTTCTTCACATTCTACGAAGAACATAGTGAAGTAAATAATCCTTTGAACTTAAAGTGCAAACCTTCATGCCATACGTTACGGGTACCTGCCTAGATAACAAGAAAGACTCACAGCAATACTGCTTTTCCTCCATAATTTTGACTAATTACATCTGCCACTCTGTGAAATTGATTGATCGCTGATTTCGTATTGAATTACTGGATTTAAATAAGCCAGCAGACACTGTAAGTACAATAATTTGAATATCGATTTTCGCCACGCCGATTTTACGTCGATCAAGTTCATCATCGTCGACGGCAGCAGCGCAACGCATAAGCCGAACGTGCACACGTCTAGAGATAGCTTCTAGGCTCAGATTACATTGTAATCTTGAGCTTGTAGGGATTTCATCTTAAAGAGATAGAGAAAAGATAACTTGTCTTTTGTATGAGCAATGAATTTATGGAATTTAATGTTATTCAAGGTCATACACATTGATATAAGGTAAAAAAAACTTTTTTTTTTTAATATTTCTTTATTACGTAGTTTTTATATCATTGCCCTATTTTCTCAAACTCGTTATTGAAATGCAAAAAATGGATTGTATATACAAATTTTGCAGGTCGATTTCACATCACATTGGCTTCATATTCACGCACCGGAAGAAATTTAAAACAAATATAAAGTTTTGCAATCTCCTGAATAATCACTCTTTATACGATACGAGTTTGAGAAAATAGTGCATCGAACTTACAATTAAACAATCACAGACATAATTTTTACAAGTAACTGCTAATGTTTTGAGGTGTATCTGTAATTAGATTATTATTCTCCCATTGGTTCTTCTGTAGCCTCCTTGTATTGTTCACACCAGTGATCAGGCTGTTTGTCGAATGCCTATAACATAAACAATTGCCGTTTTAAATCCATGTTTTAAAGTTCATTTCTAATCCCAATTACTTGCTTTTATAATGAATAAGCATAGATACCTTAGCCATTTTCTGGAGTAAGAATAGCTTCGGAACCTCTTCCGTAGCTCGCTGGCCCCATTCAAACATGTTTTTTGCTAGGTCTCCTTCACCCACCTGTTAATATACAAAAAAGAGGGTAAAAAATTATTTGTTATGCGCATAATAAATAAATAAATAAAGCTAGTTACTAAAAACAATGGTCGGAAAAAGCTGCCGCCCACTAGCTAAATTGGACTAGACAAATGGTCAAATAACCGTTTTAAATAGCAAATGTGTTAAGCACAAAATTCTCTTTTAAAAACAGTCCAAATTAGTTAATGTGTTCGACTTATCGGAACTTACCCTAACGATGCATAGCTGAGATATCATTAAACAATTTCAATATCCTGAATACGGGGTTATGGTTTTTATGATATCTCAATAATTTTGTCACTTAGCCGCTTTTTAGTCAGCGGACGGCAGAAAGGTGTTCCACATTATATAGATACATGTATAGATATTTTGTTAAAACCACCAAATATCAATTAATTACATTTTTAGGGATTTCCGGAAATGCTTTTACTGCATCGTAGGAAATTTAAGTACTGACATAGGAAGTCGAAGTTGGATTTGAAAGTATAATAATAATAAAGTGTAAAAATATTTTTGGATGCTATTTATATGTAATTATTAATTTTTTATTTGAAAATAGCCCTACATCCCTACCTAGTGGTAGAGATGTACTGGTGTACAGACCTTAAAATAGTGAAGGTACAGCTGTTTAGTAAATGTGTTAGTGAGAATCTTTCGACCAGTGTGGTTATTCTCTTCCAGTAATCCTGCTTCTGCTAAAAACTTCCACATTTCATCTGAAAATACGAATTGGAAAATATTAAGACGTCTTTGATGCAACCAGAGTTGGAGAAATATCATGGTGTCTTAATTGAAAAACAAATTACAAAATATTTTTTCCCCTCACTAGCTCGGAAAGGCTTTCATTGTTATTAGAAATCTACGCGCAAAAGTGTTTTTGCATGTTAGTGTGGAAAAGTTTTTGAAACTCGACTCGACTTGACGATGGACTGTGGTGCACCTAACTTTTTCGTTCAATGAAAAAAAGATAATAACACGTTCAACTACACGATTTGTCGTACAGTCAAAAGCACATCAAGCTTGACACTTTAGACTGTTCTTATTGCAAGTGGCATAGAGTTAAATTTAAACCATTAGTGTCAAGCTTGACATGCTATTGATCCCGTACATTACTTATTTGTGTAATCTATATCCGTTGGTATATCGTATTCTCATTATTGTTAACATTATATTGACAATGATAACTGAATGTGTTTATTAAAATATTTTGATTCGTCGAAAAACTAAAATAATTTCAATTATCACTTAATCACACGAAATTATAAGTAGGTACAGCAAGACTAAAAATTGATGAGGTGCAAACTGCAAATTCGGAACGCATCCGAAGGTGAACTTTTTCTTTTGATAAAAAACTGATGTTTTATAATATCATTGCCATTCCACTAGATTTTAGCAGAATAACCAATAATATAATTTTTTTTCTATACTAAAATAAGTGCGCATTTGACCTCCATCTCACCTGATGGACAGTGACCATGAGGTCGACGATGTAGCATGCTCATTAAATAATGCATTTTCAAGGCGAGAGCGAATAGGCATTCATAACTGCAATATAACTATCATAACTGCAATAAACTGTAATATTACTGCAATATAACTATCACAACTGTAATATAATCTCAGTGGAGTCTCAATGGAATTGCAACTACCAGTGGTTTCAATAAAATTAACTTGGGGTCCTGATGGTTAGATGTTATGGCTTTCTATTCACATTTATGATATTAACATTGCAAATGCAAGGGACATGAGATCTTGAAAATCTTGTATTCTCCCCACGCACTTCATTTTGTAACACTACCGTGAATACTACCAGTGCAATAACTTACACATACCTTCTTTGACGGCTCCTCCAGTCATATAAATATGCATCAATGCAGCAGTAAGAAGTCTCCGGTGGCTGGAGTCTGAGTTGCTACTATGCAATGATTCACATTCTTCATTTAATATTACTATAAATTGATTACCACTTTTTGATGCTATTTGTACCAGTTTGTAGCCATATATCTATTGAGAAAAAAAAAATTTGTTTTTAAAACTTATGTTTCACCATAGTACATCCTTTTGGGATAAATGATAAAGAACTAGAAATCGTTCATCCAAAATGCATGCATGCAATGCAACATGCGCAAAACAGTGCCTTGAAAAATATTGTAATATCACATTACATTCCTGTAATATTAATATTACAGTGTGATATCATGATTACACAGATTAAAAATGAGTCGCGTCATAAACATAATTCCAGCATTCTGTGCTTGCTTTCCTATTACAATCACATTGCATAGTGTGCTATATTACGATCATTTGCTTCACACAGACTAAAAATAAGATATCGCACTTGACAACTAACATAGTATTATCTCAAAAATTGTGTTATATTAATAATTTTTCTCCAAAATTTTGCTATATTTGTATGTCATTCGTATACGTTTTAATTTCAAATTGACAGGACAACACTGCCGCTTTGAAATTAAATAGGTAATATTAATACAGCTTAAGAAATTTAGAGAAAATGTTAGTTGTCATGTGCGATATGTTAAAAACATCTCTCCGTGCCATTACTATCACATTGCATTACAGTGTAATATCACCATTACTCGCATCACACAGATTAAAAATGAGATGCGTTATAAGCATCACTATGTGATTGTTTTCTGACTTAGTATATTGCTGCAATTGACGCATGTAAACAAGAGCAAATGATATTACAGTTTAAATAACTTACAATTTTAAAACAATGCTTATGTATATTGTGACTGAAATAAATAAATATTGTGCATCAATCTAATACAATTTTACGTCAGGTGATGTTATGAGTGGTGCTTAATTTTCTAAAATGGTGTGTGATGTCACATTATACTGTAGCGTGATATCACAATTGTAATATTACTTGCATTACATAAATATCTCTACCAAGCAGATTCATGTTTAGAAAATAGGATTCTTTATTGGTAAGCAGGAAGTAACCCTATTAGCCAAGTTATAATTTGAAATAATCAGGAGTAATACTACTATTATACAAACCCATTGATATAAATCATCTCTACAGTTTAAGCTAATTTTCACAGAAAGTATTTAAATCAAATTTATTAAGATCTCATCGTCATTCAGCCGGAAGATGTCTACTGTTGAAAACAGTGCTGGTCTTCACCAGGAAGATAATTTTATTTACTTTTAAAATAGATAATCGAAACTTTATACTTATTGTTTCTTTTAGAAAGTACCGACCTTTTTCAATATTTGGTTAGCTCTTGAAATGACTGTATTAACATCTCCGGAAGGTGTCTGGCAAGTAGTACTTAAGTGTTTAACAATATCAGCGCGTTTAAAAGGAGTTTTATTGCCTTCTCGGTAAAATATATAACGGACACATTCTTTAACAGCTTCGTCTAAAGCCAGGTCATCATCTTCCTCTGCAATGTTAGCAGTTGATCTGTTTGGTCTTCTTTGACTCATTATTATAAGTATTGCTATAATTTGTTAGACGTTCGAAAACAAAGACGCACTAAAATCTAAGTCTAAAATAGAAAATGAAATCGAACGAAATCAATTTTGTAAACAATAAAGTGGTCACAGATTACAATTTAAATTGTGGTGTATCTATCTATCCGGGCTCATTTTTTAAATTTTATTGAGGCTTTGGCTAATGATGTACCCAAAAGGGAGAAGTTGTCTATGAGATGAATTACTTTAACTATAATAATATAGTCTATGTTGTGTTGTTTTGTGTCTGTTAGTCTATTTAATAATTATAATAAATTAGCCAAAGCCTCAATAAATAAATAAAAAATGTTTCTGTTTATTCACTTACTTTGTAAAATGTGTAGTTCAATTCGATTCAACATTCTCCTCAAATATAGTGTATCATCTATGATTCATTTCTACGTGTCACAAACCACTAATACTAGACTTACGTGTCTTCGTTTGAAGCACGTTACGGAAACACTTTAGTATTTGACCCGACTATAGAAGATCATCCTCAACATCCATTTTACTCAGATTCTAAATATCAAACTTACGTACTGGGTACGGAGGTCTTATTTAATTGGACGTTACGAGGCCCATGGCGTTTGACAAGCGTTTGACCCAAAAAGACATTAAAAATGAAATATGTCTAACAATTTAATAAAGAATCGCTAACTCTTGGAATGAAATTATTTAAAATGCATAATAAATTGACGTATTAAATTTATTGTTATCATAAGTTTTTTTAGTACTTAAAATTTTAATAAATTTTACTTATAAAATCTTTGAGAGACCATAATCACGATGCAGAAAGGATGATTGTCCGATTCGACATAAAAAAATAGACTTTCTGAGTTTTTCTTTTCGCTTTGCAAGGGAAAGATTTACTGACTATTTCTAATGAAATTTTTATTATTTGTTGCAGAAATAATCAGCCACCAGCTTGTTTTCGTGGGACTTCTGCAATTTCAACTTATTGGTTTGTACTTTGTTTGTTTTGTTTCTTTTTGTGTTTTCAGAGATATGTCTCGTGTTCACAGGTGACTCGTCGACGGCTGTTCATCCACATCGGAGACAGCAAACCTGTGCCGGTGGCCTCACAGCGTAGATCTGGAACGAGTATGGATAGACCTCCTAAGGTCTCACAGCTCAAGATTAACATCGTTGTTTACGCACCGGAACCACATTCATAGGCATGCCTATGAGTGTTATTTTACAGCAAATATCTTTCTAATTTGTGCACAGCTAATGCGACCTCAGTGGCTGAACGATTACCTGCATGCCCAAAGATTATTATAATCAACGAATGCATTAATACGGCATTCCTCAATGGAGATCATAATGAATGCATTTGTATGGAGCAACCTACTGAATTTGGGATTGGGTGGAAAAGTTTGTCTACTCAAGAAGAGTTTATATGGACTCAAACAAGCCAGTAGAACCTGGAATGAAAAGTGCATAATGTTTTAATTACCAATGACTATACTCAATTAAAGACTGAAAAATGTATCTATTGCAAAGACAAGGTCATCATAGCGCTTTATGATGATGACTTCTTCATATTTAGTTCAAATGAACACCAAAAAAATATGCTATATAAGTTGCTCAGTTCCAACTAGCTGCGGACTCAATTTTAGTAGAGGTAGTAGTAAAGTTGAAATCTCATTTGACGCAGATTGGGCTGGGGATAAGACTGATCGAAAGTCATATTCAGGGTTTCCGAGTAGGTTCGGCTTTTGCATTGTAAATTGGTAGTCACAAACAACAACAATGTGGCTTATTCTAGCATTGAAGCTGAATACTAAGCTCTTAGAAGTTCTGCAAAACAAGCAAAATTAAAAAAAAATGTTTTTATTCGAACTTAAATACATCAGCCTGCCACCACTAGAACCTATAACGATTTTTAATGATAATCGTAGCACACTCAAAATGGTAGAGAATGAATCAAACAACGTACCTTACCCTTCAACATACTTTAAGACAAGTATTTGTGTCATTGCCTAATAATAGAGTTTCAAACAACTAATACCTATTTCAAGACTCTTAATATTGTGTGTGTTCTAAGGGGGTGATTCTAAGGAAGTAACACATAAGTGTCTCATAAAACTTGAAGCCTTAAAAAAACATGAGAGATAAATATATATTTGAAATGTTAAAATGCATTCAATATTTGTAATTTGAAATGTATGCACTATATCCACAAAATTTATTAAATTTCAGGTTTGCTAACTTTACTTTGAGGATAAATTTATCAAAGATGATAAAAGAGTGCCTTTCTCATGGCCTACATTTTTCTCAGAAGTGGAAATAGCATGTCGAAAACCCACTTGTCCTGTAAATGTCTGTAAGTATTCAGTGGTTTGGTGGCTACAGATACTTATACATTTATTATATTAAGAAGATATTACTTATAAGTTATTTTTCTTACATTTTAACTGTTCGGACAGTGGGAGATCATACTTATGCTGCATCACTGCAGATAAATGCAGAGTTGGTGACCCGGAAAAGAAAAAGGACTACAGAGCACAGACCACACACACAATATTCAACATATCGACTGACAAAAATAAAAGTGATGTTACTTAGTTTAACATGCTCGATGGTTTAACACGACAATGTGACATGATAATGTGATTTCTCGGTGTTTTCAAGGATTTAGTGACACTTTATGTACTTTTCCGCATTTAATATGTAATAATTTTGTTGGTGTATCCAATTTTCATAAACGATTTTTATAATTACTACTGTGAGTTCGATAACTTGAAAAAAACTGATCATTATGTTTACTTCACTACAAATCTTTGATATATAATTATATATTTTCTTGTTGTTTCTAATGTTGGAAGATGCGAGGATGATAAATCTGAAAAAGACGCCACGAGAATTTAAGTTGCAAATTAAAGTAAAAATTAATTAGACTTTGTGTTTAGTCGGTAAATGTATATAAATGAATGATGTTGGTTTTTGACTTATGTGCTCTAATCCGCCGAGCGACATTTTGTTTAATAATTGTGTTTTGTTATCATTCATTAATTGTTAGATTCAAAAGATGTGTTGCTGGGAGTTTCGCCGTTTCTTCTCCTATACGTTAACACCTTTACGAAACGGTAGTAGTTTTCGTTATTAATAAATAGATATAACTGAAAATACAGTACAGCTCGGCAAAAAAAGAGTATGGATTTCATGAGGGCGCCTAGATCAAATATGTGGCAACCCTATATACTACGACAAAAAATTTTTAGATACTTGTTATTTTTATTGATTGTTAAAGGCTTTTAGCGCCCAGACACACGACCCGAAAACTTTCTTGGTAGGCAACAACGTTTAAATTTCTCGGAATAACACGTTGTCCACGCGGTCGCCAAGTGGACGAAAGCTAAGCCAGTCTCGTTTGAAATTCCCCAAACTCTTCTCTTATTTCCAAAATGGGATGAACCCAAAATCATCTCACCTCTTTTTTTTCTTCTTTGCATTATTTGTATAAGTAATAATGCAATAACAACTTGATTCTTTGTAGTTAAACTTCGCATAATTTTAGTAACTGGACGAACCCAAGTCAGCAAGCAGTAATGTGGTGAAGTTTTTGTTTCTTGAAAATTCTGAATTTAACATGTAAATTCTAAATAAATAAAGCGTATTTTGTTATAACAGTTCGATCTCTAAGCACGTGAACTCCATCACCGCGTCACGCCCGCGCGGCGGCGACATATTCGCGTCAAATAAACGCGCCCTTAGAGTTAATTTTCAATTACCATCAGACTCGATCCATCCACAGTAGCAACATAATATTATATAGCAACATAATATGATCCCTCACAGAATTGTTTGTTTTTATAATTTAAATGACCTTTTTCCTTCTTACTAAGGGAGATTCGAGCAGGTTTAATAATTATGAACCATTTATTGTTTGTACAATTTATTCTAATAAAACAAAATAACAATTTAAATTTTTTTAATAAATACTAATTTTCGGATAATAGCGGTTTTTTAGATTCATTTTACTCCCGACGTTTCGAAGACTGATTCCTTTTTCCTAAGAAAGTGGCATTAATGTAAAATATAATACATGCCTGTTTTTTTACCGTGTAGAAGAAATGAACCGTGTACAGCACAAAAGCTACTGGTTATTTGACACCACTGACATCTTTAATTGTGTTGCCACAAATATCTTTTTTTAGTTCCAGTTTTCACCGCGTCATACTCTTTTTTGCCAAGCTGTATTTTATTTTAAACCACAAAACATTAGCAATATGAAAAAGTAACTGGGACCGATGAAACCGTAATTTTTACCGTAAAAGTGCGATACAGGACATCGTAACGAATAGTAACCGATAGATTTGAGGCGCGTCACTATTCGGTACACTAGCGCTACCAGCGTGCTATCACGGGGCACGGAACTACTTCTACGAACGTTCCGTTATAGGGCCTGTTTCCTATCTGTTCCTACTATATCTTTCTAGTTTGTGGTTTGAAGACTTTTGGTCGACGTATACGTAGTATCTCATAATAGTTTGTGGTCGACGTCGATCGTGGGATACAGACGAAAATTTTCCTGTTTTCGGACTAATTGACCTTCATAATTTTACTGAGGTAAGCAGCATTATTTCTGTTCAAGGTCAAATACCGATTTATAATGTAAATTTTGGTTTCTTTATTTCGAAGAAGTAACTACAATGATAAACGCCCACTAAGACCGGCCGGCGAAATTCTTGCTAGCTTTTTGACCGGTTTTATTATTGAATTATTATAATATATTGTACATTATATTCCTGTTAAAGTTTTAACTTAAAATCTCCTCAGTAGGTTTTGTAAGGAGTCTTCGTACTTTGCTTGTCTTCAATTGTAAATAATTATTCTAAGGTAAATAATATCTACATATTTATGAAATGCACAGATTTATTTGATTTAATGAAAAGTGTTGAATTTTTGTAGTTTCATTCTTTAACAACAAATTTTATACCCATAGATCTTTAAAATATCGTAAAATAAGTAATATTCGACCAAATTAAAAAACACGTGATGCCAATGAAGCTTTACATTGTTTACTTTACATTGTTTTTTGATTAGGTAGTAGAGTCCATGAAACCAAATTATACTGCCGTAAGTCAAAAATTATGGAATTCAGAAAACAATTTGAAAGTTCAAAACATTTTTGTACTGAACCAAGAAACTTATATTCTCTTTTATAACTGGATAACTAGTTACTCGTATTGTGTATATTTAAAAATAGTCCTATTATTCGCAATAAGATACATTCGGTATTTTTTTAACTTTCAAATACCTACCTAGTTTTTTCTCCATTCCATTAACTTAAGCTACAAGAGTATTTGGTTCCATATGCGAATTCTGCGAACTATCGTGTGCGAGCAACATGAAAATTGGTA